AATATCCCTACGGGATTCCGTTTTGCATTTCCATACATAAAAATAATGATACATTTTAAATAGACAAAGTACCTCATATACCTAACTATATTTTATGTAACTAATTGTATAATTAGACGTACATTTTCAAGTTACTGTCGATATCATATTTTGTGAATTTGAAATAAATGTTTATATGTTTAATAAATATTGAAAAGGAACTCGTATTTTGTATTCTTTTTACCTTGTTTTAAATATATCTTAATGGTTGACATTGTGTTAAGCGAACCTGGGTTTAAATCCCGGTAAAACAAAGTTTCGATCTGGCGCGACACAAATGTCCGACAGTCCTTCTTTATATTGTACGTAATCGTCATTTATCCCTTTACATAACTTTTATCACTTATCCTGAACATAATTCAGGATAAGTGATAAAAAGTTTGTTATGTAGCTGGTTAGGCATTGCATTGTTTTCTTAATACTATTTAAAAAACTGCAATAAAGACGGCCCTATTTCCATAGCGAGGGGATGAATTATTCTGGGGGTGATTCTGATTCCAACGTTTAGCGAATGAGACCCGTTTCTCAATCACGACTGAAAAACTAAAACCCGTCTAGCATTGCAAAGTGGATATGAAAATAAATTGGTAAGAAATACCTTTGAGTTATAATTGTTGATAAGCTTATCCGTTGTTTGCAAGACTAATTAATATTAATATTTAATATGTTGATACCACTACAACTAATGGTAATAGTAATGCATTAATTTCTACTAATTTTATTAAAATAAAAACGGTACTTGAGAGTAAATCTTATAAGACTGACTTATACTTACTGTTCTTGAACCGTTTTCCCAAAGATAACCGACAGGGATAAAAAAAAAATCCCGTTTTTTCCACATTTCCAACTATTTCTTCGCTCCTAGTCACAGCGATGTTATATGTCCTAAACCCTTCCTAAAAACATGGTCCAATACAAAAATAGTATTAATTTAAAACCAGTAGTTCCCTTAGATTAGCGCCTTTAAACGAACGAACAGACAAACTCTTCAGCGTTAAAATATTAGTATAGATAAGGAATAACAATTTTTCATACGACATTCTAGGATGAAGCTTATGTTAAGCGTAACAAAACTTTAACACTGGAATTAACAGTTACGATTATTTTAATCGAATGCTTTATAGTTTAGTTGCTAATTCAACATTGTATGTGTCAAAGATGTCAATAGTTTAATTTCGTAAGTGTTATGACGTCATAACATTAGGCATAGTAATAATTAATTAATACACGGTACCACAAACGCATGTCAGTTAAGGCTTAACCACAGACTGCTTAAGCGATAGGTATTAGACGGGTCTAATTTAGAGCCGTTTTAATAATCCTAACATTCGTTTATGGATGATTTTTAAGAATTGTGGAGAAAATTAAATAAAAAAATATATAAGTTAGTACGTAAGTTTTTCTCTTACACTTTTTTGTTCTGTATATACCACAGTTAAATTTAACGCAGTCAAATTACATACACTGTACCTACATTTGAATAAATCTACTCTCTTGTTTTTATTTTATGAAAATCTGTGCGCAAAGTGTTAGGCATTGTGAAAATAGCGTTTGAGAAGCCAAAAGGTTTAAAGCGAAGGTCACAGTGCAAATGTAAGAAATCGAATATCAGAGTCACTTTGAATGAAACTTGAAAGGAAATCGCTAAGTGCAGCGAAAGTGGAAATAAATTTCTGAATAACGTAATTCTTATACTAAAATGTATCGTTTTAAAGAATTTTACTTTTCTTAAAGTTACCTTATATCATCGTAATAGGGTATATATTGTATACAAAGTATTATAGAAATGGGTTTAAATAAAACACTTTAACGGTTTAAAACGCGATATATTAGTTAAACTTATTTGGAAATGATTTTTAACTTCGGCCCGACGTTTCGGATGCTTTGCAGCTGCCGTGGTCACGGGGAGACGGCTGAAAGGGAATGTGTACTACTCGCGTAAACTATAGACAGAAATGGGTTATCTGTAAAATTATTTTTAAAACTCACGTGCGAAAAGACGAATAGGGGATCGATATTTAAACATTTATAGTAATATTGAAATAAAACACTTTAACGGCTTAAATCCTATTTAAAAATATTTTAACTGCGGCCCGAAGTTTCGGGTTTATTTAAATGTGTACTATTCGCGTACTACAGACAGTGTGAATAATAATCATTAATATCTTCTGTCTGTACGCTGTCTTGTGAAGCCGTCAATTTCTATAACAGTTAAGCCGTAAAAAACTTGTCAACCAATGACTTGGGTATAAACAAAATATGTTCGACTTGGTAAGTTATCTTAGATTTCGCGCGCTTATAGCAAAACTATGTAACGACTTAACCTTTCGAAAAAATGGAAAAAAAAAATAACGATATCTAAAGTAACTTTCCCAGTCAGTAAAGGTCGCGGGCGAAAGCTATTATAAGCTATATTGTACGATTGTACAATTACGTAAAACTAACAATACCAAATAGTTCTAATAATAACATTTTAAATGAGACTAACAAAACGGACATAGTTATGTGCCTGCCGTGTACTACAGTAAAAGAACACTTTTATTTGGGAGTTTCATATTTTCAAACCCGTAGCGACCAAGATAGACACGACTCCTTCTAACCCATTGAGCTTTACGCTTCTCATGTTCAGTCTTCCTTGAAAGGTGAGCTTTGTTTAACGGTACATACATATACTGCAAGTACATACATACTTATACTAGCTGTGTCAGCGACTTCGTCTGCGCAGAGTAGTTCTTTTGGGCATCCACATTTGTTTTTGCAAACATTCTCATCATTATAATTAAGCTCTTGTAACCCCCGACGTTCACTCGTTAATCTTAACATACAGACACAAATTATTATATTTTTCCTAAAGAGGAATCCTTCTTTCATACATATTTTTGGAGTATCTTGAACCGTTTTCGCAGCGTACACATCGCATCGCGAAACCCATAAAGATAAATAATTTTGCCGGTGTTTTTTTCTCGTTTCCCGCTGTCACTTCGCTTTGACACATTTCCCGCTGTATCTTGGCCTTCCTATTAGTCACACGACGAAGTTTTAGCCTATATATAGCCTTCCTCGGTAGATGCTCTAACCAACACAAAAAGTATTTTTCAATTCGAACCAGTGGTTCCTAAGATTAGCGCTCTCAAACTAACAAACTTTTCAGCTTTATATATTACTATGGGTTATATATTAGTATAGATAACAGCAAGTATGTAGAACATTTAAGATAAAATGATGTATTGCTGATTCGAACCCACGGTCAACTGTGTACGGTGCTGTTGCTCATCCATTTGATTTAACAAGTTGAGATACTTTAGATTTTTTTAGGCTTTGCTGTAGGTATCCAAACAACCCATTTCTTTACCTGCAAATCCTTCACAATATTAATATGATAATGTTTGTATTATTTGCCGCCAACAAAAGGCTTAAAACGCTAGTCATCCTCCATATTTAAAGAGTTTCCGGACACCTTAATTATTCAAAACTTCCACCTTCATATGAGGGCTAAACACGATCAGAGTCATACGTAACACTGAAAATGTTTAGAACTGGCCAGTTAGAAAGCTAATAAAAACTTTTTAAATTCCTGTTTTAGAACCCTTCCGTCATTTGTTTTTGTGAATTGGCGGCAAATCTAAAACTCTTGTTACATGTTTTTCATTTCTAAACATTTTTAATATTACCTATCCCAAAGAGAGATGTAATATTTAACGTATAGAATTATTTATATATTGTAAAGGGTTATATATAGTTTAGGCGAGTGTTAACGTGCAATAAATAATTAGTATTTAGTTAATTTTAAAGAAAAATTAACTAAATACTAATTATTATTATATTCTTAGCGAAAAGTCTCATTTGCTTTGAGGAGAGGTGCTAGGTTTAAATTCGAAACCCATTAAGTAATTTAGTTTTTGTCTTAAACCAAATTACTTAATGTGAGTGTTGAAATGCGTAACTTTATCTCAGACAAGATAGAACTAGCGTGAAGCATTGTTAGGTATTTCTACTCGTTAATCTTAAGACGACCAATCAGTAAATGGAAGACAGAAATGTCAGCCGAGAACAGACCTAAACTGGACTTCTGTTCTGTGTAAATTCCTAATTTTTCACTTTTGTCTGAAATGGAAACATATTTTTACAAGTTCGCTGTGCTCGTTGGTATCATTGTATGGCTAATAATTACCAGTTCACGAGTTCAATCCACACCTTAATGTTTCTAATTAATTTTTAATTTTTATGAAACTTTTTGGACTTCGCCTGGAAGTCTGGACTTATACATTGGTGTAGCTATCGTAGGGTCCAATGGTGCTATGCACCAGGGCCCTGGATCTCGATTCTCGAGGGTCCCTTTGCCCTAACGTAATCTATAATTTTGAAGGGAATAAAAGTTCAAGCCATGTACGAGTAAGAGGGGGTGAGGTCCTGATTCTTTCTTTATGCACCGGGGCCCTTGCCCATTTGGCTACACGCTACAGATCTTCTAATCTCTTCTATACCACCTCTCATCTAACCTTATTCTTGTACATATTAAAACTTCTAATGATACAAAGGGTAAATAAAACATACGATTACATTCACAAATCATTTATTTGTCGCATTCATTCAATACCATTCACACACTCAATGCATCGCCTATTTACATTTACAAATTGAGTACAAATATTTGGTAAGTGCTTGAAGGTTTTACAACAAATTATATGCTCTTGACATTTGAGTGAAATAACGAATGAATTAAACATTTATGCAGGAACATGAATTTTAAACGTATACGCATTTAACTTACTTATACAAAATTTTATAATTTCGAGTCAGTTTATAAATAAATAGAAAATGAAAAATAAGAGCACGATGAAACTTCAAGAAACTACCGTCATTTTTCTTAAATTTTCTTAAACCACTGCTGACCTAATATGTCAACGACCTACATTAAATTTTGACGTTTTCTACTGGATTTCGTGTTGGGGGGCTTGTGATTAGCTCAGGATCTTCGTTCTCCTTTGAGAGTACGGCATCCGGGGCATTCCGTGTGGTGGCGCCTTCTTCACCGATATGGTGATCTCGCTGGTAACTAACTTATCTAGAGTCTAAAAAAAAGTACATTCGTAAATTGACCAGAAGTGTAAACAAGTACAATGTACGGACCTGACGGCGACCAGATATGTATTATATAAAAATCCGTATCTATAATAAAAAAATTGTAAATCAAACCGTGTATGTTATGGTCACGAAAAATTTAAGTCAGGTCCAGTACCTATACAAATTTGCCCATTGCTCTTTCAAATGCGAATTGGATTAAAGGCTTCCATGACATTAGACATGATAAAAAGTATTTTTTTATTAAACATTGCCTATGGAGATATAACTAACAAAGTTACTTTAAAAAACTTATTTAAAAAATGTAATCATTACCTTAATTAAATACTGTCTGTAGTTTACGAGTTGGACACATTTTAAAACAGTAACTAAATCAGTTTAACACATATATCGTATTTTAAACGGTTAAAGTGTTTATTAACTTAATAGTTATATAAATATTTGTCGTAATTTAGTACTTCCTTAAAACGGCATTTATTGTATATAAATATTACATTAAATTTTTAACTAACATTTAGAATACTAGCAGACCCGGCCACGCGTTGCTGTGGCTTAAGTTATTGTTTATAGCAGTGTCATCTATTGAATTGTAGCTTATATGACACGTTTGTCGGTTTACCGTAGCAGTGCCATCTATCGATTACTTACTCAATCCATTGTAGTCAATCAATCAAGTAGGACCATACTGGTCACAGTGTGATAATTTAATTTAAAATCGGTTCAGTAGTTCACGAGTCCATAGCGGACAAACATCGTGACAGGAGATTTATATATATAAAGATTGTATAAGTTACATACTTGGTCGTCTATTAAATTTCGGTCTTGTAAAGCCTTTGCAATTGTCTCAAACTCCTTTTCAATATCTTTGTTATTCGAATTTTTGACTGCCTCCCGTACTACGTCCACCTAGAAGAAACATTTCTTTATATTATGTGTGTATTTCGTTATTTGTGCGCGTGTGAAATCCCGTTTTCCCCTCGTGGGGCATGGGGCGAACACATTTCTGTGTCCGTTTCACCGATCCGTTCTTCAACATGCAGGTAGTTGATCAGACTTCTGTGCCATGCCTGACCGAAACAATTTTTTTGTTTCCTTGGGATTCGAACCCAAGACCTCTCGCGCTTAACGCAATGCTAGGCAATACGTTTAACCATTTGGCTAAACGTATTTGCCATACAAAATACAGTGAGTGTATTTTTTAGCTGTCAAATTTAATATCAAAATTTAGTCCAATATTTAATACATCTATCCTAATTGTTAACATTAGTTTGTTGTGAATATTGCAAAACAATAAATTTACCGTCTCCTTGAAAAACGTGTGCCTGTCCGTTTTATCTGGTCTATCTACGTCCAGTACACCTCTCAAAATGGGTAAGGTCTCATCCACCCTGCCCATTTGAGCTAAAGCTGTGACCTAAAAACAAAATTATATAGAGCAACAGCACGGAACGCGGTGTATGCCGACTCAAATCCTGCCCGTGTCGTAAAAGAAAGTTTATCAATGGATGTTTGAATTTAATTATAACTTGTTTAAATTAAATATATTTTTATAAAAAAGTCCTTAATTGCCAGACCACCGTCATAGTTCGTCATTCGTGAGGTCCTGTGTTCGAAATCCGGGCAAACAAAAAATGGCTTGGTCGGCCAGGACACAGAAGTTAACTATGCTCTTAATAAAAATCGATCAATGGACGCAGAGCAACAAGACTTTCCTTCTTTCCCCAATTTTTTTATTATATTACTTACTTTAATATTCCTAACAGTGATATAATGCGGGGTTTGTAATGCTAGACACTCCAAAGCGACTTCTGGTTCATTGTGCCTTAACGCCAAGGCTGGAAAAAAATTAAAAATTTATAATATTTTCCATACATACAGTTAAAATGCACTAGTTACAAATATAATAAGAACTAGAGTGTAATAGACCCAGGGTTCGAATCAAGGGTCAATGTATTTATGAGGAAGGCTATAAAACATCACGCTGCGACCAATACAAAGCGAAGGAACAGCGGTAAATGTGGAAATAGCGGGGAAAATTGTTCATCTCTGTGGGCTCCGCTGATATTAAAGATACCATAATTATTATGAAAAAAATATTTCTCTTTGAATGATCTAAGTATGTCTATCTTTAAAGATTAACCTGCGAGAGCGACGTGACGCGACTGACGTCGTGGGTAACAGCTTAACTTTATAAAGATGAAGGGGTTTGCAAAAATAACGATTCCCGCAGACGAATTCGATGACACAGCTAGTTAATTTATAAAGATGGGGACGTTTGAAAATATAAATTATGATGTCCGAAATTGTTCTACACGGACGAAGCCACTGGCACAACTAGTACTCTAATAGTACTAGTTAACTTGGATAAAGCCAATCAAAAATTAAGCTTCGAATAATTAGTACTCACCACCCATAAAAGTACAACTCCTCCTTAAAGGTGCTGTCCCCAAACTCGACATGTCTCTCCATAAGTTCTTTGCATACTCATAGCTTCCTGGTGTATTCTAAAAGCAATGAGTATGTTGAACAAAAAAATTCTGCATCTTCCATCGTCCCCACCAACGTTATGCAATAATGTTTCAGATCCTATCTTAAGCAATTTAATTCTATATTTTATTACTTGCTCTTTATTCCTCTGGCTGAACTGTCTGTCAGCCAGAACAACTAACGTGTGCTTTTTTGTCATAGATTAGAAACTCTGAACTCTGTGAAAAGATTTAAGTCGATGGATCTAATTTCATCCAAGGATATATTATAATAATTAGTTTTATGTTGGAAAAGCCATCCACTTAAGTTATTTCGATCAGAGCAATAGACATAGAAATATGTCTAGCCATTTATTATTCTTTACCTGCTTATAACATGCAGCCAGTATCAAAACCACCGGATATTTAGGGTACTTCGTCATATTCACTCGCCGTTCTTGTACTTTCTCGAAAATCTTGTACATTTCATCAAACATTTCGTGGTTGTAAAGGAGATCTAACAAGATTTGGTAACTGACTAATTGGTCAAAGAAGCCAGCATTTGCTGGGTCGTCAAAACACTGCAAAAAATAATAATTGTAATCAAAGTCTATTCTTACTGACTTATCAAGGCGATTTTAGGGTGGCTCTGTTTTGTTGTGAAAATAATGATGTGTAGCCATTTTATATAAATTAGGATTTTTTTTTAAATACTAAGACTATAATTGCATTATAGGCCATTATAGCTCTAAAGTTTAGAGTAAGTAAATTTTATCTATCAAATTATATAAATTTCAAACAGTTATAGAAAAGAGTTATAAAATATGTGTGGCAATATGAGTGGCATTCATGTGATGAAACAGGCCACAGAAGATAACCTTCCGTAATTCCAATCTAATAAGTGAAATAAACACAAATATATATCATCAGCAACTAATACTAGATATTGGGTATATAGTAGAACAAATATGACGCAAATTAGATCCATTACATTTTATCAAGTTATAATCGATTTTTAATTAAGATCCAGTTTAATACAGATTCAATTCACACATACCTTAATCGCTTCTGTAGGAGCATCTAAGAAATAGAACATTCTCATAACTACAGGGCCAAATATAAATGAGCCAAATCTGAATTCTGTCTTTTGTGTGTTAAACCTGGAAATATACCAATCACCATATAATAAATCTAAGTACTGTAAAAAGGGATTAATGGGAATGGGATAAGAGTGGTTTGAGAAGAGTACAACAGACTATTGAACATGTTGATGTATTGCACTGCTGGATTGTTAGAGTATAATTATTAATATAGCACTATATGACAGTAAATAGAATAGAGAAGTTTTTTTTTCATTATTAGAACTAACTTCTTAACCATGTCAAGCACCAAATCCAGGTCCGAAGGTTCCGCTAAATGAACCATATTCTTGAGGTCTTCAGTAAATATCATATGCTTAGGATCTTGAACGAAATCATTCATTTTAGTTCTAAAAGTGTTAGTATATTGGGCGAATTGTTCCTTTATCCTCTTTCTAGTCTGAAGATATGAATCTACACCCAATGCTGATGGGGCATATAAACATTGAACTGAAAAAATAAATTTACAAAATTATTATTATGTATGATCTTCAAGAAGGCCAAAGTAATTTTCTTCTGTTACAATAGATCTTTTTGTATTTACACAAGTGCCGGTTTAAGTGCAAGGATTCGTTAATTTTATGGTTAAGAAAAATATTAAAGTTACCTTTGGTTATGTGAAAATTTCTTATTGGTCCAATACCTCTAAAATTATATTGAGGAGATATACTCAAAATTGATTTCATAAGAATGTTTAATTTGTTCATCGTGCTTCGAGTAGAATTAATCAGAATTATGAAACATGTACAGAAATAATTATAGAAGGATATAAAACTTTTTTAGGTTACTCAAGAAATAGGATTTGAAAATTCAAACAATTCATAGACAACTGTATTTTTTCTTTTAACAAAGTCATGGCTTAAAAACGCACTCAAGCTAAGTCTTTTTTTGTGAAAAATAACATTGTCATACAAATAAATAAAGTTGAAGAGGTTGAAGAGAGGGACTACGGGTTCTAATTGAAAAATTATTTTTGTGTTAGAACATTTATCGAGGAAGGCCATAAAAAGTCGTCCTGTGACTAATACAAGCGAAGATACAGCGGGAAATGTGAAAATAATGGAAAAATTATTCATCATTATGGGTTACCGAGGCTTACGCTGTAAAAACGGTTCAAGATACCCAAAATATATGTATTGAAGAATGATTAACCTTTAAATGATCTAAAAAAAGCTATGTGTCTATCTTCTAAGATTAACTTGAGAGAACAAAGGGAAGGGACGCGAACGACGTCGTGGGTAACAGCTTAAGTTTATAAAGATAAAGGGATTTTCAAAAACTAATTTGGATGCCCGAAATAAACATTCTTAGCAGACTAAGTCGCTCGCTATTAATAAAATATATTCTTGATACATTTTCCCAATTCAATTTTCCCCCTAGTCTAGCTTCACTTAAAGCTTAAACTTTTTGCAGAATATATTTACCATAGACAAATAAGGTTAAGCCTGTGGCCATGTATAACTTGAAATTGTCAAATTTTATGTAATGTCATATTTTACAATTTTCGATCGTTCCTCAATTCAATTAATAACAATTAAAATGGTGTTTTAATGTTAAATATAGACAAGATAAAATTGAAGTATTAAGTAGGTAGTTCTATAAAAGTGTTTTAGACTAATATTTTCGCGTTTTGTGTAAAATTAATCAATTTAACTTATATTCTGATTCGAAAGGCGGCTTGGAATTAGGATTAGAATTTACCGTAATCAACCCTGTAAAGTTCGGGAGTATTTCCATACTTTTATAAAGTGTTACGCAAAAAATGACGATTTGTCATTACAAATATGGCCTGATTAGTACAACTATTTCCGTTAAATGTGGAGTCTAAGACTACGGAAATAGGTAAGACTAATTTAACTAACACTAACACTTTTCAATAAACAACTTTATAATCTTAATAATCAACAGTTAATGTCTTTATTTTTTTTTTAATGTAAATTATTGTATAATATGTTGAACAATTTGTGCATCACTTTATATTCCAGGGGCTCACTTGTTTTTTTATATTGCAGATTGTACTTCTGAGGCCAATTTAGTGTATAAATAATTTTATTACCATGTTATTGGCTTTTTAAAACCTATTATGAGTTCCAGAAGATATCTTAAGGGACACCTATTACGTTTAATTATTATGATTATAGTGAAGAACACTGTGCTAAAACTATATTAAGCTTTATCGGGCCATTTTCATTCGTAATAAAAAAAATGTCACTTTTCTTGGAAAGCAAAGGATGAGTAGAAAAAAATACACTAATATTGTGTAAATAGTATTGATATTGTTTAAAAATTCTAGATTTGATATTCCTTAATATATCTGATGTATTTCTTTTATTATTAATAATTGTGACTAATTATATCCTTTCATTTCCATTTAGATAACAATGGATGGAAAAGTAAAATGAATGGGCAATGCTGGAACCCCCTAAAATGGCTACATAAATAATGACAACATGAAAAGTTAAACAATGAGTACTGTTGACACAACAGATGTCGAGATAGGGTGGAAATGTAATCAGTGCTATAGATAACATTACTTATATATCTACCAAAACATCAGATTCATGATATGTTTAACCAAACCAATTATTGTGTTGCAAGTGAATAAAAATCATGAGCCTGGTCATTTGTATATGCTTGCCACAAATAAATTTGTTTTCAATACCCAATATGATTATTTTATTACTTACATGTAGATATTTGATCACTTATTTTATATGTAACTAAAATATTAAATATTTCTTTTTCCAGGTTGAATCACTGCAAACTACCAATTTAACACAAAAGTTATGGCCGACAAGTCTCGAAAACTCTCAAAACACCATACAAACCCTTCTAGAACTGAAAGACATTCAAAAAGAAATAAAGAGTCTAAATTCCATTTAAGTGAATCGCGAACACCTCCATACTCATCAAAACATACTAGCATTGGTGAATTAATAAAACAGAGGGAGTCTCTAAAAAAAGAACTTGAAACTATATCCAAAAATACCAAAGTTAACTCAGTAAAAGATGATTTTAGCAAAAAACGCAATATACATGACCATGGTGACAAAAGTAAAAAGAGTAAAAGAAGTAAAAGTGAGAAAAATATTTCAATTACTAATAAAAATGAGCAATCACCTTTCAATCAGGATTTTGCACACCTAGATTCTGAAGATGAAGAACACATTATTGAGCAAAGAAGAAGACAAAGGAAGGAACTGTTGGAACAACTTGTTAAGAGTCAATCTCCTGACCAGAAAAATCACAAGGACAACCAAGAACACATTGTTGATTTGATTAAAGTTAATGATCAAGAAATGCCCAAATCTAAAAAATTCAGAGCAGAAGTAAAACCTGAAATAACAGATATGTTTGCTGAAGAGGATTTTCAATCAATCAAACACACTGACAAAGTAACACAAGATAATAGCAAAAGTACTTCTCAACTAACCGACAACTGGGATGATGCTGAAGGATACTATAATATTAAAATAGGTGATATCATAAATAATAACAGATACACTATCAAATCCTTACTGGGACAAGGAGTTTTTGCAAATGTAGTAAAAGCTCAAGATAATACGAGCAACAAAGAAGTGGCAATAAAAATTATGAGAAATAATGATTTAATGTACAAAACAGGCTTAAAAGAAATTGCTACAATAAGAGAAGTGAATGACTCAGACCCGACCAATAAATATCATTGTGTAAGACTGGAATGTCATTTTATGCACAAAAACCACCTTTGTTTGGTCTTAGAGTCCTTGCACATGGATTTGAGAGCCATTTTAAAAAAGTATGGTAGACATCGTGGACTAAATGTTAAACCTCTTACAAGTTATAGTGTACAATTGTTGATGGCTTTAAGACTCCTTCGAAAAGTTGGCTGCATTCATGCTGATATTAAACCGGATAATATTTTAGTAAACGAAAGAAAGAATGTATTGAAATTATGCGACTTTGGGTCAGCATTTAAGGTTAATGAAAATGAACCGACTCCATATTTAGTATCAAGGTTTTACAGAGCCCCGGAAATTATATTAGGCATACCATACGGTCACGGTGTAGACATGTGGTCCACTGCATGTACTATGTTTGAAATGGCGACTGGGAAAATTCTTTTTACTGGAAATTCGAATAACAAGATGTTGAAGTGCTTTATGGATCTCAAAGGAAGAATGCCTACGAAACTCATTCGAAGGGGCAAGTTTAAGGATCAACACTTCAACTATAATAATAATTTTTTACTACACAAAAAGGATGAGTTTTCTGGAAGAGAAAAATTAGAAGAAATATCCGCCATTTCTATAACGAGGGATCTTCACAAAGAGCTGAAACGGAGTAGAAAAGATATGACAACTGGTGAAGTGAAAAAAATTGGACAATTAAAGGATCTCTTGGACAAAATGTTGATGTTGGATCCAAGTCAAAGAATATCTGTTTCTGATTGTTTACGACATCCGTTTGTTAGAGAAGAAATAGAAAATTAAATTGCTCAATGAACACAAATAAAAATATATTTGTTCACTACAGAGTTTCATTTATTTAAAAGTACCTTTTATACTGATACTAGTGGCCCGTTCCGGCTTCGCACGGGTAGACATTTAAATTATAAGCATGCTAATTAAAACGACCATGAATCACTAAATTAGAAAAATATTTGTATTGCGCGTCCTAGCTGTTAACGACCGTTGTCTAGCTCGCTGTGTTCATTGTTAGAGTCCCGTGCACGCGTTCGCGAATTCCTATCTCAATTTCCTTCAAGTCGCTTCGAGCGAACTTCAAGTTCAAAGAGATAATTCCGAAAAGAACTTTGACAAATATTATGCAAAGTGTGATTCCTAATACTAAAACTAAGTAGCTCTAAAAAGAAATTTTTAAGTGAAGCATCAAAATGTGAAAAAAAACTCGAAATGTTCAATGTCGCTCGCGTCCACTGCGCAAGGAGCTCACAGCCCCTCCTCGTCGAGTTAGTTACTCAATGCGCAAGCATGTATTGTTATATCATGATATATTTTCAATGGAATGTCCGATTTCAATAATTAAAAAAGTAATCATCAGGTATTGAGACAGTCTTGAATATTAAATTATTTATTTGTATAAAAATTTATAAATGATGTGGATAAATGGGTCTGTTTTTGTTCAGCATTTATAACATTAAGTTAAATTTTAAAAAATAGTTACTAACTACAATAGTTTGACATATAAGTAGTCTCGTGATGTTTTATATATTCTATAATATTGTCGAACATTTTTTTGTCCTATCATTAACACTCTTCGCAGCGTATGCGATGAGACATTTTATGGCTAATTACACCTCCCGTTGGTTTTAATAGAAATTTCTATAGTAATCTAGTACTAAATAAAGCCATGTTTAAATAAAGCACTTTAACGGTTTAAAACGCGATATATTAGTTAAACTTACTTGAAAAAAGATTTTTAACTTCGGCCTGACGTTTCGGATGCTTTGCAGCAGCCGTGGTCACGGGGAGACAACCGTAAACGGTTAGTGTTTTATTTAAATGTGTACTACTCGCGTAAACTATAGACAGTATTTAAAACCATGTTACTCAGTGATAGGTTGTGATAGTGATAAGCTTTCTAGTGAAGAATTATTAAAATCGATTTTTTTTTCACTTTGAAATGGCCTGACCGGTTTTTATAAAATTAAGCTCTATTTCAAACTCAAACCATTTATTTCAACAAAGAATATAGCGAAATAACAAATATTAGCTAGAGAAAAAAGAAACTTAGATGAGTGCTTGTGAAATTTGGGAAAGCAGTCGGCATTTGCACTACTTTCACTACACGAGAAGCGCCGGTTTTCAGTGCCCATCCCAGGGAGGAGTGACAGCAACTACAAACTATTTAATACTCTAAACTAAACTAAACTTTAAAGTTAATAAACTTAGAATAATCTATAATGGATTTTTTATAATGATTTTAGTAATTTTACCATATTTCATCTCGCTTGATAAATACATGGCGAAAGGTTTACTGACTGAAATATAGGATTTTTCCAAGGAAATAAAACAATAAGTTAATTAATTACTTTATTCGCTTTTACGGTTGAAAATAACAAAATATATAGCTACAATTTCAACCAAAATATCACTTATTGTTTTCACATGAGTACGAAAAATATACGACATGTGGACTATCACATTCAAAAGGAAAATCGACAAGTCGGCACTAGGAATTGCGTGAATGAATTGACGAGTTGACTACAATCTGAACCTATATTGCTACCATTGCTCACCAAAAATTGTATTCTACGGCCGATAACCCTCTAAGAAGCTAGAGCTCCAAAATATTTCGCATTTAGGTATCTTATATAAAAACCTAAGACTAGCTTATCCGACAACACCGTACTTAAACTATCCGTTTTAACGTTCTTATTACTTATATACTAGGTATCTAGGGCTAGATCAGGCTGATAATTGCATAATAGTTCTTGTTCAATTGATTTTGAAACTAAATAAGATGAAATTAAATTTACACACAGCGTGTTAGTTATACATATGTTTTAAATAAAAAAACTTGAGCATTTTATACTTTTCATAAAATTATAATTAGGTGTGTAGAATAATTGTGATAACGCATTATGGAGAAACATAGACCATAGAGAATTCACAAAAGCTAAATTTAAAGCCAGCTGCTACTTATCTACAGCCAGTAACATGATCGACACATAATGATAAATTTTAAACGGAACTTAATAAAACTAAATATACCAGCTTTGCTGTCATTTACCTCTGATACCTTAAAATAATAAAAAAATAACAACAAAAATAAAATAAGTAGGTAAAAACATCACAGTAGAATAATAATTATACAAAATAAGAATATGTTTCGTCGAGATCCCCGAAAATGATTTTGTATCACAAAAACACCAACGATACAAAGATTTACCGCTTTCTTAACTCCGAGCCTCGCCGAAACCTTTACATCAAAGCAGGTGGTACAATATCTCACAAAAACAATATTCGTTGCGAATTCACACGTCACTTAATAGAATATAGATCAAAATACTGTTTCAAACACATAATATATCTAATCAATTAATAAGTCATTATCTACAAGGATTAACTTATCGTTATTTAGCTGCATGAACGGTTCAAAATAAATGAGATGGACACAAAATATTGTTCTGGTTATTTCTACTAGAATCTTAACGATTTATAATCTAGACTGCCTTTACGCGACTGCGATCTTAGACTTAGCTTATATTGAAAATTGTGTGGATGGATCCATTACATACTTAGATTAAGAATTAGTAAATAAAAAAAATAGATCACTGGTAAAACTTATTAGGCATTACCCCCACAAAAAGTATATGTATAACAAACTTGCATACAACACACAATGAGATTCTTATAAAATTCATTACAGAAATCTTTGGATAAATGAAAAATCTTATGAAATCAGTATTAGCAAAATATCCATAGTAAATGAAAAATCTATTGTATTAGATTTGCATACATCATAAAAGATGTTTCATCTCCTATAAAATAAATTAAAGTACATATTTCTTTACGTTGTACAAAACACAAACTTGATTGAAGTCTCCATTTTCTAGGCACTAAACAGTTACATGGATGATACGTACCTTAGCCAATATTGTTAATAAGAATATTTAATATAATAAATAAATATAGTTTTAAAGGCTTCCTCAAAGATCAGCGCAAATCTATTACAATAGACTTGACAATATTACGATGAACGTTTAAACTTAACATGACCTCCTTTTTAATCACCGTTTATTTGTCTCGTCATTTACTATAATTGTTGATTCGCACGGCAAAAGAAAACCTAATTACTGTGCTCTCCAAACTTTGTGGCCGGGCTGAAGTAAGCGCGGATGGATGCGCAGAACGCAAAAATCAGGTATCAGTTGCGACAAAAGGGGTACGCGGGTGGAGGGCGACTCGACTTTTTGTTTTTGCTTAAAATGTACAGTACCATGCGCAAGATGGCAACTTCAGCCCGACCAAAAAGTTCGGAGAGAACTGTATTTATACGCAGAAATAGACAACAGAGTTGTGTTGCCATTTTCTAAGATAAAAGATAAGAAAAATAAATTTAGTAAGAATACGTCTGTAGAGATTGATTGTTTGTAGAAATTAGAAAAGAAAAGGATAAATCTATTAAAGAATTACAGAGTGTTGATAAAATTCGTTTCCATTTCTCCGAAACGCCGTGTAAATTCAACGTAACAGTGCTATCGATGTTTATAAGACAAACATAACCATAAATTATTGCTATGTAGAGAGCATATTTTGGTTCGGGAAGCCGGCCTGCAAATCTATCGACTGACCGGATGCTATGGAGTCTGGACTCTGCAGTGACGCACTGTATAGTGGGTTCATTGGTGTCGTCCCACCAGCTTCGAATAGAGTGCTGTCGTAAACGCTGTTACTCTGCTAACACAATAACATATTTTTATGAGGGATATGAAATACCCAAATCATCAAAATACGATAAAACTTGACAGCTTTTCCATCTGTGGATAGTGGTTCGTGACAGGGACGGAATTCTTGTTATTTCAAGCATACATTTAATATACAGATTTTCAGATGAAGTCCAGTATCGTATAGAACATTTCTAGGTAACTTAGAAAAATTAATATATCGGTGACCGGTTTGATAGATTGTTAAGAGCATAACACATCGCGCTGCGACTAATAGAAGCGAAGATACAGAGGGAAATGTGAACAAAACGCGGAAAAATTTTCATCTCTTTGGGCTTCAGATGCGTACGCTGCAAAAACGGTTCAAGACACCTAAAAATGTGAATAAAAACAAGATTCCTCGTCAATGGATCTAAAAAAAAGTCCGAGACGCTATATGTCTATCTTTTAAGATCAACTTGCAAGAACGATGGGAACAGCCAGGTCGTGGCTAACAGCTTAAGTTTATAAAGATGACGGGATTTGCAAAAACTATTTTGGATGCCGAAAATAACGATTCTCGCGGACAAAGTGGCTGGCACGGCTAGTTTTTTAATATATATATGTAATGAATGTGCTAAATGAAAAACATACCTGATATATGTAATCTGAATCCGTTTTAAGAGAGCTAAAGCTTTGTTGATGTGGAAGAGATACTTGGTCATCGTCCATTGGTTCATCCATTTGAGCTTTATATGAGAACATTATACTTGGCTGAGCGACACTGTAACATAAGGAAATTATTTAGTGTAATATGTTTTCATTTGAACTCTAACTCTAGGGGATTGGAACTATAACTTATGTGCATCATGCAATCATATTTAACCTTATTCTGCATTATCCTATCAATCTAATATATAAAGCTGAAGAGTTGACTTATTTGAACGCGCTAACTGACTCAACTTTAAAAAAAATCTTTTATTGATTAGAGCATTTACTGAGGAACGCTTTAAGCTAGCGTAAGCGTAAATGTAGCAAAAACGGGAAAAATTATTCATATTTCTAATGATCTAAAAAAATGGCCGTGACACTATAGGTATGTCTATTTTTTTATGATTTACTTGCGCAAAAACGACGGGACGGCATCGTTAACGACGATGAGAAGGCTTGCAAAAAGTAATATTGATATCCAAAATATTTATTCTACGCGGACGAAATCACTGACACAGCTTATTAAGAAAAATCAACACACCCTATCATTTTTTACTTAAATTAATCATATGACATATTAATATAATTCAAACTTACCTGAAAAATTCACTCAAGAATGTATGGTACACCAGTGGAGTATATAAAGAGAAGTATAACCATGTAGTAACATCTACAACACAGAGTCCCGACTGCAACGTACTCCACATTAGGAGGCCAGCGCCCACAGACTGTGTGATATCCATTAAAGCGAGGAGTAGGACGTAAAAATAGAACGACAGTTTTGCTGAAAGAAAAAAAGTAATTATGAAAAAGAAAAGTGAAGTAAAAATCAATGTAAATAACAAACCATCATAGTCAAAATGAAAATTATATAAAAATTAATCGATTTCTAATGCCATGAAATTCGTTTATGTATGGCTAATAACCAAACGGGTCGTGGCTTTGATCACCACCGGGACCAACATAGTTCTAATCGTTTTATATTTTTTTCTGAAACATGTGGGACTTTGTCCGAACCCATACGGGAAACCCATATGGGTTGTAAGAATATCGCAAATTTCAGCCGGGTCATAAACCCCAATAAAGAAAAAGTGTGATAGTGTATCGGTTTCAGTCTACGGTTTAACAACTATCTAAATCATAATAGGTCGCGACATTTTTATTAAAATTCTAATATAAATATTCTTGCAACATATTGGTATTCCCTCCATCTTAAAAGATAGAATTGTAGTATTGTTTAAATATGAACAAATCACAGCATTTCATAGGCTGATAGATGGGAACACAAATAAATCTTATAACCTACATGCAAGTTAAGTACTGTTTACAATATTAAAAAGAAATAAATTCTTTACTATCACAAACATTACCACAATATAATACACAATTATTCATTGTTCAATCATAATAAAAGTAAACAAAGGAAAGTGTGAGAGTAATCCAACCTTGACCAGGCTCAAGTTCTACTCTGTTGACTGTGGTTTTATTATATTACTGTACGTAATATCAATTAAGATTTGATTATTTTAAAAAATGTTACTAATAACTGTAGCCAACATTTAAAAACTTTAATATTCACATGATGGCATTATATAAATCATAAATCAACTAGACGAGACTTGAACCAGCATCGTCAGTGTTCCGTGTCGCTCTAACCATTGTTGCTCATGCGATGAGTGCATGTATCAATGCGTTGAGGAGATTCAACGAAGACATGTAGGACACAATAGCTCAAATGATTAGTGCACTGTGAATGCAGGTTCAAGTCCAGCTGCATTGTAAAATTACTTCAATCTAAGGTTGATTTTCAATTTTGTAGCCAATATTAAATATTCGCGTTCTACTTAGTGTTTTGTGACAAAAAGTTAAATGCGCAAATTATAAGGAAGTCCAAAGTGTAGGGTTTTTAACAAAGAAGGACAGATCAGCTTCCTCATATCTACTGGTTAGATTTTTACCAGCCAGACCCAACATATAAAGAGAAAAATTATTTCCTTTTCTTTTTCATATATATCTTTGACACTGTTTAAGCATTTCATAACCAACAGTGTGAATAGGTGAAAGCCCGTTTCCCCCTCGTGGGCATGGGGCGAACATATTTCTGCGTCCGTTTCACTGATCCGTTCTTTTAACAGGCAAGTAGTTGATCAAACTTCTGTGCCCTGCCCGACCGAAACAATTTTATGTTTCCCTGAACCCAGGACCTCTCTGAATACTTTTAAATTTTTTTATGTGAGAATGTAATTAGGTTCTAAAAATATTTGCAAAAAATTATTCAAATCAGTGTAGCCCTTAAGTTTAGTCAAAGAAACACTTTTTGAACCAACAAAAATATATATTGTGATTTATAACTGAGAAGTGTGTCAATCATTTATAAACATTAAAAGTACGGTATTAGGTATTTGACTTTTCTAAAAATTTAAATTCTCAAAATTGGATCAACATTGATTTCTGTTTTTGGAAACAGTTTTATTGCAATAAGAATAATGCTGATGTATTTTTGAAGTGATAATTCTTTTGGCACCTTTTGTAAAATACTTCAAATACAGTACAGCTATTAAAAAAGTATTTTAACTTACTCGGCAATGCTAAGTATTCTCTCAATGGAGTCCACGGCAGAAGTAATATAATTAAATATATAATCCCGAATACCAGAGATGACGTAAACCAAAAGAGCATCCCGCCATGTCCAAACAAATCATAGTCTCTGCTATCGATATGAAACATATCATCTGGCATGACAATCTCAAGAGTACCCTGAGTGACTGTGAATGCTAGAGATATTAGAGACGTTGCCAACAAGACATATCTGATGCTACTCCGGCTGTCCATGTGACCTAAGATAAACCAAACAAATAATCACATGTATTATAAATTATTGGTACAATTATAACATTGTATGTCTAATATGTTAAAGAGTTTCTGTAAGCCTAATTTGTTATAAAGGCTTACTTTCTCACTAATAATTAATGTTTATTTACTGATAAACATATGATCAAGTATGTTGCTTAGCTTCAATCATGTTAAATCACTGGCTATTAAAAGTAGCAACTGAAGAACACAAATCTTATCTAGATGTATGATTGCATTTTACTTTCACTTAATAGCTCTTAAAAGTAGAGTTTAAATTTAACAGGAACATAAAAAAAATATCTTACCAAAAGCAAGTCCAAAAATTACCACACTCATTTCCGTGGAGAGAAGGAAGAATCGCACAGTGACCCATAGTATTTTATCAATAAGACCTCCGAGTGGCACTGATGCATTTATAGTCATAGACACTACACATCTTATAAGGCTTATAATAACGTTCCCCCATACTAGCGTGTAAAATGTTAGAAAAATCGGGCTACTCGTGGCACGCAATTTTAACTGAGCTTTGTTAAATCTAACGACCAAGAACAGAACAAACAAGGCATTTGGTATCAATATAATTAGATCCCAAATGCGGACCCTGCGAACAAAAACATTTGTATCAAATACGCATACGAGAATGTACTTATCATATTGCAAACAAACATTACGTTACCTTGAATTGTTTATCTCATAATATAGTACGTATTTGCAAAACGTATCTTCTTTCACTGGTGGAAAGTCGGTACCGTTATGCCCATACATTTTTCCGCTTTTACTGTGTGACCATTTAGTTGGTTACGAAATAATGTCGAGGGCCGTAAAAGAAATCATCACTTGAACCCCAGTAATCAAATTATCTTACACACAACGTCAGCTATCCCCAGACATTTTAAAAACTTTATTATTAACTCGCTATATTTCCGCCTTAATAACAAAACACAAAACGATTGAAAAGGAAAAACAGCAAAGCAAATCTTCATGAACAGTGAACACACCAGTCCAAATAAATGGCTTTCAGATTTCAACACGGATTTCAATCATTTGCTCATCAACTTGACAGGTACTCCATTACTTTTGAAGGATCACGTCATTAATGTTGTCATTGTCATTTTAAATTCACAGATATAACAATTTTACACATAACACGTAACAAAGTTAACTTATAACCTATTCATCGCTAAAGTAATACGTAATTTTATGCTACATATCATACAACCATCTATCATACTATCCGTGAACCCAAACAACCTATGGTCATGAGCGAACAAATTTTTGTGTCCATTTCTCCTAGCGAATATATTTGCAGCTTATTATTTCGTAGTAGCATCGATCTAAATTATAGTTCTGTGCTACACTTTATTATTTTCTCGATCTAGGCAAATATTGACCACAGGACATAGTTGAATTAATTTTAGTTTTAGTAAATATACATTTTTGGCATATATGATAGCTTGCAAAGTAAATTAAGCTTATATGTTTTAAATAACAGTGTAATTTTGTAATGTAAATTATCATTGCTTGTTTACCGTTTTGGGCAGTCGCAAAATAAAAACCACAAACAAACATGTGCTCTTTAAAGATGGTGGCTTTTTACAATGTTCTTCTTTTTTATTATAAAATTATGACAATGTGCAAGAAAGAGACAGCATGACTTTATGAATTCATCTTTAAAAGTTTAAAACTCTTGATCCATCTGTATCCTAAAATGATCACTGACGTGGTAAATGGTTATCACAAAGACGAACAGCCGCAATCGCCAATCGAATCGGCAATATTATTTACGTCAGAGCGATACTTGAACTTGAATACTGAATTTTTATTTCAAATTTAATTTTGTACCGAACGGTCGTCATCGAATTTGTAATTTTAAACTTTACGTACAGTTTAAAATTTAGAATTTTAGTTATTAAATTCATTAAAAATACTCAGGAAAAAGACCAAATTAATATTAACCATGGGGGTACTAGCTACGATCCTGGGTCTCCTTTTCATTGTCGCTACTGCCTGGTCAGATGAAGCTCCTAAAGGACCAAAAGTAACACACAAGGTAATTAAATTAGGTATTACATTCTAGATTTAATTGTATTAAAGAGATTTAATCTGGGTAGGTAATTTTACGTGGTGTTAACGTGTTGAACTTTATGGGGTCGATGACCTTAATGGTGACGTTACAAAAGCTTCCTTTGTTGGCTAAAGCTTTTGAATAAATGTGCTCAATTCGTAATTACCTTATTTGTTGCTATATATATATATATAACAAATAAAACAAAAGTGATTGTAATTTTTAATCATTAAAAAACATTATGATTTTACATTATCTTGATCTATTTTTCAACATTAAATTCTTGAAAGTTTCTAGTTTTAATTTCTTCAAATTATGGTATCATGCTATTAAGAACAATCTATAAGTGGCCTTATTTTTTGTTATATTATGTATACTTCTATTTACCTATAAATATTTTCACAGGTAAAGTTTGATATAAGTATAGGGGAACAGGCTATTGGTACAGTGACTATTGGTCTTTTTGGAAAAACTGTACCAAAAACGACCGAAAACTTTTATCAACTTGCCCTGAAGCCAAAAGGAGAAGGCTACAAAGGCAGTAAATTCCACAGAGTAATTGACAATTTCATGATCCAAGGTGGTGACTTTACCAAGGGTGATGGAACTGGTGGTAAATAGAATCATATTTATGAAATTAAAAAAAATTGTAACAGTTAATAATTATGGTACATGCATTACATTTTGCATATTTGCTATCACAATTGCATTTTTTTAACAAGCAATAAAACTTGTAAGCAATTAAACTCTCACAATGGAAATAATATTATAATGTATTTGTAAGGTGTATGTTTGCTACAGTAATACTTCTTATACAGGACGTAGCATTTATGGAGAGAGGTTTGAAGATGAGAACTTCAAGCTGAAGCATTATGGAGCAGGTTGGCTATCAATGGCAAATGCTGGAAAGGACACCAATGGTTCTCAATTCTTCATTACAACCACTAAAACTCCATGGCTAGATGGTAGACATGTTGTTTTCGGGAAGGTCTTGGAAGGAATGGTTAGTAAATGGATTATCTTAAAGCACTTTTTCTTATAACTTATCATAGGTCTTTTCATTTCAATAATATCTCGTCAGTTGTTGACATGTGATTGTAATCTGAAGTCCGGTAAGTGATAACCTATTTATAAATTGGATAAAAGTTTCAATTTATGCTTAAGGCGTACTTAGATAAGGTCCATTTCAAATGAATTGAGATTCAATTGGTGTTATTGTCAACAGGATGTTGTTCGCAAGATTGAAAAGACAGTAACTGGAGCCAATGATCGTCCAGTTAAGGATGTTGTTATTACGAACACTAAAGCAGAGATTGTTTCAGAGCCTTTTAGCGTCACAAAAGAGAGTGCTCAATAATTAAAATAAAATTAGTATATAAGCAATGTATTGATTTCTATTTCAAACCTATTTGGTTTTTATTTTTATTAATTTAACAAACTGTATTTGTTCACCAGTATAATAAAGAGAATAGATTTCATTCATAAATAAAATATTTTATTTGTTGTCTATCTACAAAACAGTATTATATAAGTAATTACTTCTTCTATGTGTTAGGCAGAAAATTTTTAATTTCACTTATACATTTCTCAGCTTCTTCCTTAATATCATTATTTTTACTCAATATCCCCATCTTTAGACCTTGCCCACAATAACGCCGTGCTGTATCTAACATTTGCTTTTTAATATAGGCTTTTCCAAGATTGACATAAATTGCACCAAAATCTTCCATGTCAGGAACAGTTTTTCCTAAATCTATAGCTTGTGAAACATAGTTTATACATTCATCCACTTGACCCATTTGGTCACAAACTGTACCTATGTCATTTAATTGGACTACAAGGTGTTCAGCATCTACGTCTTTGAGTTCCTTCATTTTATTATATGCATTAACCATATACTTGTAGCCATGATCGTATTTACTACAATCAACTAATAGCCGGCCGTACCAATCCTCTGTCATTGCTAAAAGCTTTTTGTTATCATCAGATGGACTCTTAGTGTACTCTTGTCTAATTCTTTCTAAGCACCAGTCATACCCTAATTGTGCTGTTGTATAATCTTTTTGTAAATGGCTCACTCTTGCTAACTTAACGCTAATTTGAACAATTCTTATATCTTCTTGATTAACACCATTGGCTATTAGTCTTTGTGCGACTTCCACAAACAACTTTTTGGCTTGATCAAGCCGTTCTGTTTGTAGTGCAAGGTTTGCCATTACATCATAAATGTAAGTAACACCTGTCTCATGCTTCATTTGTTGAGCCTGCCTTAAAGCAACATGAAGTAGCTGTTCCGCTTTTCCGTACTCATATCTTTGCATGAATAGAATACAATGCTTTATCATTAAAATTAACTCATCTTCAGCATTCAGTTTTTTCTCCAGTCCAATCAATGTAAGTAGAGAAAATCCAATACTACAAGTTGTACCTCTTACTGGAGGTATTTTTTTAAATGATAAAGCAGGGTAAACAAGTTTATGATGTAACCTGACTTGAAGGAACCTCCTCAATCCTCTGAATATTTTAGACATTTTGTTTTCTATTTACATATTATGTTGAGAAAAAAAGTCAATTATAAATATTAGCCTATATCATATGATTTTTTTTTTCAAAAGCAGGGATTCATGTCAAAATGTCTTGAACAAGCTAATGTACACTTTGATGATAGACGAGTAGAATTTATTAAAATATGTTAAATCCTTGGTCCAATTATCTGTATTATTTTTGTGTACTCTATGCTGAATGCTTTATGGTATGTTTATTAATTGTTTTGACTGACAGCAGTAGTTTTCTGATTGTTTCTGGTTTTCGTTTTGAGATTTGTGTGCGGGAATCATCACATTAGTAAATTTATACATAATTGTTATTATACCGTAAGTAATAAATAAAGATCTTGCTTTTAGGCCATGTAACGTGTTCGTGTACACAGAGTACTTTGAATATGGCCATTCTATGAGACAAGAAATACGCCAATAATTTAACTAACACAACATTATCAACTAACAACACCTGTTAATACTTATCAATGATTTTATAGGGTCTCTTATTAGTTGTATTATCATGAGCATTAAAGTACCGACACTTGGTTTTGTGAATTGTTGCAAATGCTGTTTGGATGATGAAAATCTACTTTATATGTGGGAAGAATCCTACAGTGATGGACAGATTGAAATCTACGGTGACATGTTATTGGAATGCTTCTCATTGCCTGTAAGTATATTTACCTTGTTTAGAATAAAAGTATCCGCTGTTGCTGCATGCTATCAAAACAAACCTCATGTACATGACCTACAATTGAATTATTAATTATGTTAAAAAATAAGGTATTTAATCTGCAAAACTTTCTCCATGCAACTCCTCTAGATCCTAAACTCCATAAAAAGCCTAATAGATTTAGTTGGCATAATGGCAAACAAAATTACATATTGTGCATATAATAAATTTATAAACTATTTCAGTGGCTGAAAAAAAACGACAGTGATCTCATTTGTAGCTCTTGTGTTGACAAATTACGGAATTCTCTCAACTTTAAGAGAGAGATAGTAGCATCTGAAGAAATTTTGAAGGAAGGTCTCGTTCTGCAAACTGATATTACATCTGAAGAGAAAATTGAAGCTGTTGATGACAATTCTGCAGAGAGTTGTAATGTTATAGTACCTGATGAAGATGCACTCGTTACTGAAAAAGGTATGAATGATTAACCTTAAAAAATATTACTGGTCTTACTACTAATGATCTGGTTAAGCATGTTACTATAAATATAAAAATCAATAAAGAGTCATCAATAAAAGCTTATATGCATTGCCAACTAAGTAATAAAAATCATTAAGGATCGAAAATAAATTGAAAAATTGTTAGACTCGGACAGGACATGAACCGGCATCGTCCGCTCAATTTGTAGAGCAACAGCACGGAAAGCTGACGATGCCGGTTCAAGTCCTACCCGAGTCGAAAATTTTTTCAATTTATTTTCGATCTTTAAATTATATAGTGCCTTCATGTGCATGTGAAAAATATTAATGTTTTAAAAAAATCATTAAGGTTTAATGATAATGTTTATAAAAATTCTATTTTAGCTGCAGAAGTAACTAACAATGAATTACTAGTAGAGATGCCAGTAGAGACATCAAAACGAAAGTGGCCTAAGAAACGAAAAGGTGCAGATCGTTTAAAAGTGTACAAGAAGTACACCCAGTGGGATTTAAGGAAAGCAATTAAAGATATAGAGGAAAATCAATTGTCACTCTCATATGCGTCGGAAAAATACAATATTCCAAGATCTACTATGAAAACTTATATAAAGAAGCTAAATGAAGACCCAGATGCGTTATTAAATGGTATGCATTAATAATACATCTAATCAGCCCTGTAATCCATTATCATGGTAGATTAGTGAGAGAACATTTGTTCCTCCAAATTGGTCCTCCAAAAGGACTTTTAGTATTACATATATTATATTGTAATTGAATTGGAAAGTTTGGGGCATAGGTACTGCCTGTAGTTAACACAGGTAGTTCATATTTTAACAAAACATTTAACAGTAATAACTAATAACATTGCCATTAACAAAATCACTTCAGCTATTCTAGTTATTTTCTTTGAGCAACACATACAGATTTTTTTTTATAATCACAATTAAGTTTCTGCTACTGTTGCTGTGCTTTTAAAAGTGTATCAATCTATCCCAACCAAAGCTTCCTATAAAGAGTTGTCCCTTTATGATAATTCGCATATTGCTATCAAATTAGTGGTTATAAATAAAATTATTTTTACTTTTTCAGATTTCAATGAAGAATCTAGTAAGGGAAAACAGTTTAGATTTATTGAAGAGATTAAAACTCTTCTACAATTCTCAAACATCATGCCGTTTAAGTCGAAAACAGCCAAATATTACTGTGCCTACTGTTCAACTGACGGTCCAGTGTTTCAAGACGCGGATGAATTAAGACTTCACACAAAAACCCATGAAGCGGAAAGATTAAGTAACGTTGATCATTTCATGAGACCATATTGGCTGAATGAGATACTGAAAGTTGATGTTATGAATTTATCATGTGTCGTATGTAATATTAAACTTGAGGATTGGAATGCCATGTTCCAACACTTTGATCGAGTCCATGAAATAGAATTCAACGACGCCTACACAAAAATAATACCATACAATCTGAATCATCCAATTCACTGTGTTCTTTGCTCTGAGCATTTCACTAACTTCCATCAGCTTGATGGACATATGAATAGACATTATGACAATTACATCTGCCCAGAATGTGGTGATTCCTTTGTAGCGAACAGCCGTTTGGACAGACACATACAGCTTCATAAACGAGGACAATTTCCCTGCGAGCTATGTGGAAAAGTGTTCCCAGTGGAAAAGTATAGAGTTAAACATTACAATTTAGTTCACAAATCCACTTTTAAGTGTAGATTATGTAAGGAGGCGTTCACTTCGGACTTACTTAGACATTTGCATATGGTTCAGAGTCATAATAGCCATGTCAAGACATTAACTTGTGAGTTTTGTGGTCAAGTGTTTACGTATAAACCATATTTTCTTCGGCATGTGGAGCGAATGCACAATTTGAAGAAGAGGCAAAAATGCACAGTGTGCCTTAAAACATTCAGATACTCGCACGAGTTAAAGAATCATTTTAAATTACACTTGCAAGACGGTAAGCATAACTGTCCTGAATGTGGTCTCGGCTTTAATACTTTCCTCGCTTTGAAGAGACATGCTCAGAGACATTAAAAGTTTATTATTTAATTGTTGGAAATAGTAGAATTTTAAATTACAATTTTTTTTTCTAGTGTAATCAATTTGGGAACACTAAAAGTATTGAGTTATAAATACTTATGGTATAGTGTTAAGTTTTATTTTGCATGAAATAAATATTTTTAAAGAAAATTGTGGGTATTTGAATTTAGTGTTTGATTATTAATATTTCTCTACCTTGAAATGTATGCATCTTTAGTTTATGCGAATTGTACACATTGGAATAAAACGCGAATTTTCACTTAAATTATTTAGAATATATTTTAACTACAGCCTGACTTTGGATGCTTTGCAGTAGCTGCGGTCACGGGGGGCCCGTTCTGTCTGTCCAGGTGGACAACGCCACTTGCTATGGTCAGTTTAATGGGAAAATTAATAAAAAACGACTTAGTTTATATTGTTTTATTATTTTTAATAACTTACTACTCATTAAATGTTAATTAAATGTTGTGTTTGTATTCTGTTGGATTTTCCTTATACTTATTTATTGCATTACTATATTATACTATCATCAGATCCCCATTGTCGACAAATTATGGATGTAAGTATATCGTGTAAAATAAGATCGCTATTACGTGGTCAACTCGTATGTATAAATAAAAAATATTGCTCTACTATTAAATTGGGTAATATTTAAGATTTAAATAGAATATATGCATTTTACTCGTTGATATTCTGACGCCATGTTGGAATTTTTCTGTAACAAAATATAGATATTTTGTTAGAATCTATTGACAGTAGTAATTTTTGACCTCAAGTTAAGCTTCCTTGGGATTCGAACCTAGGATTGTATTCGGCTGCATGACCTATTTGACCGTTTTAAAACATTACATTTGAAACAGTAGGTACATTTGATGATTGTAATATTGTCATATGTTACACATGATGGCATTATTGAAAAAAAAATGTATTTAGATTAAAAAAAGATGATACGGAAGAGATTTAACCGACACGATAGCTAGATATTGGTTAGAGCAGCAGCATGGAACGTCGTGGATGTGAGTTCAAGTCCCACCTGTGTATCAATTTTCGATTTATATAGAATTTTAATTTATTTGCCTACAATATAATTGGTACCAATAAACTTATTTGTGTGATATTTAGAATAAAAATATTCCTACAAGCAGCGGATTGTTACAGAATAAGCTCTATCAAGTACTTACAATATATTATTCTCATTTTGTCCCTGTGCTATACTTACAATTTTGTAACGTCTTCGACATTAGAAAAAGTTTTAATTGAATTATTGTCCCTTTGACACCTATTTTCCCATTGCTGTGTCGGTGATAAGAAGGTAACCGAATTTTCTTTTCTCTCTGAGCAGTTATCGCCGTGAGAATTCCTTAAAGAATGACAACTATGAGGCTGTATAAATTTAACATTGTATACAAACAAAGTTTTGTTCTACAAGGATTTATATGTATTTCAAAGGCATCAATTTAAATTTTGGTCCATTATTGCATAAGTACTAAAACTTGTTTAGCTACTTGTTTCACTCGTTTCGTTTCGTCAAAGGCCATGAATGATACTCGCTGAGACACTCGTCCAGCAGCGGTGTCCCACGGCGGTTACAACTAACCGTAAGAAACAAGCGATTATTTAAATAAACAGCAACTATTCCCACAACAACAACACTACAGTAGTAAAAATATTATAACTATCAATAGAAAATCTGTACTAATATAATAAAGCTGAAAAGTTCGTTTGTTTGAACGCGCTAATCTCAGAACCACTCAGTCTAATTGAATTTTTTTAATGTTGAATAGACATCGAGGAAGGCTTCAGACTATAAAACATCAGGCTGCGACTAATACGAGAGAAGAAATAGTGGGAAATGAAAAAATATTTGTCTTTTAAGATTTCCATTGCGTGCGCTGAGACGGTTCGAGATATTTAAAAAATGTCTACATATGTCTATTTTTTAAGATCGATATTTTTTATGGTAACCAATTTCTGTTGAAAGACTAATATGGTAAAAGAACGGAACAACGAACAGATAAGCTGAAGAAAAGATTTATTTGCCAGCTAGTACTATAGTTCATTGCAGTTTGAATTATATAAATAAGTGACAAAACTATCGAAGCTGTAAATAAAATTTACCTAAATTTCACTTGTACCCTTTGCTCTCGTGTTTTCGATTTTTCTAGAAAAAGAAGGACATTTTTAATCAGTTGAAAAGTAACAATAAACCACATACGTCATAATTATAATTACCCTCCGTATTTTCAACTTTCTTTTGTTTCGAATATTTAATTTTTCTTTTATTGTCTTTCCATTTACTCAGAGCTTCTTCTTGGCACGACTTCAAATGAACGTACTCCAAGTACCATTGAGTATGGGACCATATCTCGTCTGGTTTTATACCTGAGATAAGAATCTGGTTGTTATATTATTTTTACAGAGCGTTTAAGATATTACAAAATATTTAATAGCATTAAGCATACAACTAAATCTATAAGAATATATAAAGCTGAAGAGTTTGTTTGTTTGAACGCGCTAATCTCAGGAACTACGAGTTCGAGTTAAAGAATATTTTTTGAGTTGGTTAGAGCATTTATCGAGGAAGGCAATAAGACATCGCTCTGTGACTAATAGAAGCGGGAAATGTGAACAAAACGGGAAAAAAATTTCATCTCTGTGGTTTTCGGATGCGTACGCTGCAAAAACGGTTCAAGACACCCAAAAAAAAATGTAGGTATGTAAGAATGATTTCTCTGTAAATGATCTAAACATATCAGCGACACTATAGGTATGTCTATCTTTTGAGATTAACTCGCAAACGACGGGACGCGACCGATTTCGTGGGCAGCTTAAATTTTTTAAGATGTACCTAGGTTAAATACTATAGTTATACTATAGTTTACGCGAGTAGTACACATTTTAATAAAACACTTTAACGGTTTAAAACGCGATATATTTGTTAAACTTATTTGAAAATGATTTTCAACTTCGGCCCGACGTTTCGGATGGAGCAGCCGTGGTCACGGGGAGACAGAGACAGGAGAATAAGTTTGACTAATATATCGCGTTTTAAACCGTTGAAGTGTTTTATTTAAAAGATGTAGAGGTTGGCAAAAACATATTTGGATGCCCAAAACAACTATTCTACGCGGACGAAGTAGCTGACACAACTAGTATACAATAAACCACCTGCTTAACTCATTGATGAACGAAATCACCTTTAAATCGGAGAGGTCACATGTTTGAATCCCCGGAACCATGATTTATTGATTCGGAAAGGTCAGAACACTGAAGCGAAACACTTTATTTCGTATAAAGAAGGGAAGCGTGCGAATCTTATTCTGTACGTTAAATGTGTGACGGACATATTTTTACCTACACAGAAATGTCTCCGTCACAGTCATGCACGGGTTACAAGACATACGGGTTCAACATACCTATATAGCACAGTTAGTTTTTCAAATTACCTACGGATTCACCACCTAAATATTGTGACGGGCTGGTTGTGTGGTGGCAATGTATGGCCAATAATCTACCGGTAACGTGTTCGATCCCGACCAGGTCTAACATGTTTCTAATTAATTTATATTGTTTTCTCAAACATGTTGGCTTCAGTCTGGAAATCTGGATATTGAATGGGTGGAATATCGAAAATTTCGTCCCGGTCGCCAGGGATCCACTGTTCACAGACTAAAGTTTAATTACGTTTCGGTTTTAAATCTGTGTTCAGTACCGACTCCAAAACCAGAATAGGTCTACTGTGTTATTTAGGATTTTATTTTTTTTAGCTGGGATATTTTCACCTTCCACTAAGTTTTCCAGTAAGTGTACCTTACGCTTGTCCGTCCGCTGTCAAATTTTTTTCGATTAATAACAGTACTTACCAAATATTTTTTGGCATACTTCGTTGCTGAACCTCAGGTATGTGGCATCGTCCTTATATGGTGTATGAAGATTATTGTCTTGTTTATAATATTTATTCCAAACACTAACAAAACTATTGTGGTTGTATTCATTCCAGCCGCCGAATCGTTTGGTGGTTTTCAAGAATTCTTGAAATCTTTGCACCTCCTGAATTAATGTCCAACGTACTCAAGAAAGGGCGCAAACAAATTGTTGTATCTTGTATTAAATAACTTTCATATAAACACATTTTACTACACACCAGCGGATGTGGCAAACTTTATTTCGGCCAAGATTTGATTATCATACAAACGGTCTTGTGAGTTAATCTTAAAGAGACACATATACTGTCGCGGAGATTTTTTTAGAGGAATAATTCGTTCATACATATTTTCTGGTTACCTTGAACCCTCAAACGAATCCCTCAAAGATTAGAAAATTATTTTTTCGTGTTTTTTCTACATTTCCCACTGTTTCTTTGCTCCTATGGTCGCGCGATGACTTTATAGCCTAAAGCTGCTCGAAAAGATTTTTAAATTCTAACCCGTAGTTTCTGCGATAGCAGCTTAAGATATTCTTATTAATATAAGTAATCTAAAACAGCGTCCGCGACAGTATATGTCTATCTTTTAAAACAACTCACAAGAAAATAAATAAGAAACGTTTTTATGATGATCAATGTTAGTCGAAATCCTTCATAGCATAACTTTTGCCAAATGTATTGGCAAAAGTTCTTAGAACTTAGGCTGTCGAGAATCGAATCTACCAACGTATGATGATGATGGGCGAGATATGGTAGTTCAATTGCCAGCAGAACTACAAAAATAGTACTCACAACAGATTTCAATGGCGAATGAATTAGAACTCGAACTGGGCTTGGGACTAACTCGCTGTAAGGCTTTGTCTGGGCTTTTACTAAACCGCTCTTTATTTCTTGAGGGTTGTCGTTTATCTTTAATAGAAATTATAATTTATAGCTTTAGGTCGCTCTCTGGTAGTTTTTTTAGGGCTGTCGCTTTTTAATTTTCTATTTCTATTGAATATGGAGAATATTCAATAGAAATAGATGTCAATTCCGTCAATATCTATTCCATGAAAAACATTTGCGAGATCTCAAAACTAAACAAGAGCTCGTATTTCGTCATTAAAATTTAAAAAATGGTTCCTTCCCGTAAACTATTTTAAATTACCAGCCTAGTAGGGGAGGGGGTTTAGTTACCTGTTGAATTAGTTCTTTCTCAGCAACCCTTAATACAGTTAATTCTCTTCGCAGGAAGTTTTTAAAATTTGTAACTTTTGCCTCTAGCTCCAAAATATCCTTTTTAATATCGTCTATATCTGAAAATATTTTGTCTAATATAATCTCATTGAAATAACGTAAATTACTAAATAAAAGTACTTTTCAAGTTACCAGTATTTTTCAAATTGTCCTGATCTCCGGTTAATGTTTTAATATCCTGAAATAAAGTCTTAATTTCTGAATATGACCTTTTCACTTTACTGACGTAATTTTTTAAGTCTGCATTTTCTCTTTCTTCGGATTCACAATTAAGTAAGATTTTATTAGCAGCTGCAGTCAAAATATCTTCTTGTATTTTTAATCTTCTTAATCTGGCACTGGTATTAGGAGAGCTTTCGATTAAAGAAAAATTACTTAGTGAGTTGCTAGCTACAGAACTTCTGCTATTCATTTTTTCTTACTCCAGAAATTAAATGGAAACTACACAAAATTGAGTTATCGATCAAACAAGCGCAGTTTGATGTGTGACGACCACGTCATAGTAAATTATAATATAGGGATATGTATTAAGACTTCTCTTTTGGGAGGAAAATCTAGCAATATAACCATTTGTTTAAATTAATAAAAAAAAATTGTTTAATATAATTAACATATTGACTAGAATTGATTAGGATGGGTATAAGACAATGTCTTAGAAAGATTAAGGAACTACTTATCATTTACCTTTGTATATTATATGAATTAATTGTAATATTATGTTATATTGAATATAGTAAACATTTATAATAATATTAAAATTAGTTATCTATGGCAAGTGACTGTTGACTATGACTTAGTGTCAAACATTTTTTTTCCATTTGTGGCAAGAAGAATTAACTATTTGCCAGTGTCAAGTTAGTGTCAAACTTCAAAACAGAGTTTGACAGAGAGGAGATAGAAAATGTCAACTTGACATTTAAAAATAACCCAATCACTTATGAGAAAAATTGCTACAAAAATTTGTTTATTCGCCGCTTATTGAGAATAATGGATATATTGATTGTAATACAAAGTTAAGCTTTAAACCATTGTAAAATACAGCAGTAACGATGTTTACGCGCTCTAGGTTATTCCTTTCAAAAGCTCTTCCACTTAGGGTCAGTTTTTTAAAACATTTATGTGAAAGAGAAAACCGTCCATGACTTGATGTGCTAATGTTGTTTCTTCCAGAATATATTGAACCCAGACTACCACAATGAAAGACGACTTCTATACAGTGTTACAGCAGCTCGATATCGATCAACAACACCTTTAAATACTATAATAATGTTTGTACCACAACAAGAGGTTAGTTTTAAATAATACTTTTTACATGATGAAATCTCATATTTACTAGAAATAATTTTAATATTTTCTTCCTAGGCATGGATTGTGGAGAGAATGGGAAAGTTTCACAGACTCTTAGAACCAGGACTGAATCTGTTATGGCCTATTGTGGATAAAATAAAATATGTCCAGAGTTTAAAAGAAATTGCAATAGATGTGCCTAAACAAAGTGCTATTACATCAGATAATGTTACCTTAAGTATTGATGGAGTCTTGTATTTACGTATTGTGGATCCTTATTTAGGTTTGTTTTCTTTCTTATTAGAATCTTTTTTCATAACTTGTACAATAATATTTTTCGTTGTTTGCAAATAGTCACTATAGTTGTAGCCAAGAATACAAAAACCATTTTTTTTCTATTCTATAGTGTTGTAAAATGTACAGTGTTATAAGTAATAGTTAATAATTACATAAGCAGTTGTAAACTTCTGATGGTTTCAAATCTAGGAGGGACCTGATAATTTTTTTGTCCTCATCAGAAAACTTATTAGGTTATGTAATTAAAAAAAAATTATCAAAAGCTAATTAAGGTAAGGTAATATTAATACTTATTATAAATGATTTCTTACAGCTTCATATGGAGTTGAGGATCCAGAATTTGCTATCACCCAGCTGGCTCAAACCACCATGAGATCTGAACTGGGTAAAATATCATTGGATAAGGTGTTTAGAGAAAGGGAATCACTTAACGTGTCAATTGTGGATTCTATCAATAAAGCTAGTGAAGCATGGGGCATAGCTTGTCTTCGTTATGAAATACGTAAGTAAAATATAATGGGAGTAATTCAGAAAAAAGTTGTCTTCCAAAATCTTTAAATCTTAAGAACACAAGTATTATGTATCCAATTATGAGCTTATGTTTGTATATGTTGTTGTGGATGTGTGTGGTGTATTATTTATGACATCCCATACATTGAGAAAGGTTAATATACATACTAACATCCTGTTACCAAAACATTCCTACTCCTAATTTTAATTAAAGTATAGCATATATTGCTAACTTTTTTACTTGTATGTGCTTGTATACTCTGTTCTCTCTCAAAAGAGCATAAATGATCAAAAACATTTTTTCAAGGTGATATCAAACTACCCACACGTGTACACGAGGCTATGCAAATGCAAGTTGAAGCGGAACGACGTAAGCGCGCCGCCATTTTGGAATCTGAGGGGGTCCGTGCGGCAGATATTAATGTTGCTGAAGGAAAACGACAAGCAAGGATTCTTGCTTCTGGTAAAAAAAAAAATATTTGAGGCAGCTAGGGGCATAGTAGCCTAACTGCAATTTTATAACTGAAGTTATTCATATTTCTAAAAATGTTAATCTACAACAGCACAGCGACCGAAAATTGTTAACATAATTCTTACACAAAAAATAGTACAAATTCATTTTCGCCTACGTTAATTGCACATTATTATTTTTCTCCTTATTGAAAATCATCTCCGCCTCATATGCTAAAAGAAATTTCATGTTCAAAATTATAGAATATTCAAATTTACAATTAGTTACTTAATATTTATTAGAATTATTCACACTGATATATTAGTTTCATTACAATTATATATATTTTTTGACAGAGGCTGAAAAACAAGAGCAGATCAACAAGGCATCTGGAGAGGCTCAGGCAATGTTAGCTGTGGCAGATGCTCGGGCTAGAGGACTTAAACTTGTTGCATCGGCTCTTTCATATCCGGTAAAAACAACAATACCTATAATAACTAAGTATTGTCTGTAGTTTGTACTAATAGCACACTTCTAATGGTTTATAAAGTGAAATATATTTATCCTTTCAATGTCAAATATTAATATTTTCTTTTGGAGACACCGATTGATGGATTTACATCATTTGCAGACCGTTAACACTCAACCTAGTCAAACACAAGATATTAACAATTTTGTGTCTGCTGCACAATGTAATCGTAGATGAAAATAAATAGACTAAGATATTTCGAGTTTCAACTGTTAAGTATATTAACAGATAAAAAAAAATTTTTTGGGGATGTATAATTCACTACCAACTCTGTAGCCAAATGGTTAAACGTATTGCCTAGCATTGCGTTAAGCGCGAGAGGTCCTGGGTTCGTGTCCCAGGGAAACATAAAATTATTTCGTTCGGGCAGGGCACAGAAGTCTGATCAACTACTTGCCCGTTTTTAACTATAATTTACTTCATACAACTTTTTATAGTCTGCCGTTTCAAACTCCATATTCTATCTAAATTCTAATTAATTATTTCAGGACAGCAAGCAAGCAGCATCATTGTCTATAGCTGAGCAGTATGTAAACGCGTTTCGTAAACTCGCGCGCACCAACAACACCCTCATACTGCCAGCTAATGCTGGGGATGTTTCCAATTTAGTCGCTCAGGTAATTATATGCCATATGACATAAATGTAACAGTTTCCTTTGTTGTGACTTAGGGCGCTCAGTGCCTTTAACCCTTAATTAGACATATTTATCGACAACCTAGGTATTGGGAGTTTTATAGTGTTCGTCCTTTTTTTAATGCCTGCACATGGGCCCTGTTCGAGAGAACCGCGCTGGCCAAGTGTGTGTTGGAAACTGAGACATGTCGGTTCTAATACGATTTTCTGCTTCCTTTAATAAAAATAATTTAAATATGTATTTATAGTCGTAAATTTTAAATCCATACTTTTCCTAAGTTTTATTTCTACTTCTAAGTCGACCGCCTTTGAAGTTCAAATTTGTGGTTAAGTTGGCACCTTTGTGTTAAACACGGTGGTTCGTTAAAATTTCAGAAAATAATAAATTGTCTTAGTACAGGGTACAGAAGTTTGACTCACTACTTGCCTGTAAATAAAAAATCGATCAGTAAAACGAACACAAGTGTTATCGTCCCTTGTTATTTGTGTGGGGAAGTTTTCACTGCACTATATGTAATAGGGTCTAATAAATATTGTTTTTTTTCTTAAGGCCATGTCAATATATTCCACTGTCACCGCTCACAATGCACAGCATTCACAACCACACGGTGAACCGATAGTCCCTGATATTATGTCTGAGGATCCACTCTTCAAATTGAATGCGCCAGCGCTCAATGAAAAGGGAACCACATTAGCTGGTCAGCCGCTTCCAAATGAAGATAACGACTTAGCAGAATATTTCTCCGATGATGAAGAAAGGGAAAAGGCATTACAAGCCCAGAAAGATAAACAAAAGTTACAGTCTCTAGAAAAGGACACATAGGAACATTAAGTGTAGAAGTGCTTGTTAATAAAAATATTTTAAAGTTGCTTCGGTTGTTTTATTTTGTATAAAATCTAGCTTACAACTATTAACATTTTTATGTATTATAATGTACCAGGAATGGTGATAAAATGTCAAAAGACACGATATATTAGCATAATAGCAGCTAATTTCCATAACAGTAACTATAAATAGTTAAAAACACCTTCAAACATTTAATAAATTCATCATCAAAATTTTATCTATATGTATATTATAAATAATCTTTCAAATAGAACACTTTAACGGTTTAAAACGCGATATATTAGTTAAACTTGTTTAAAAAAGGTTTTTAACTCTTAATCATTTTCAAATAAGTTTAACTAAGTAATATATCGCGTTTTAAACCGTTAAAGTGTTTTATTTAAATGTGTACTACTCGCGTAAACTATAGACAGTATATAAATAATCTTGCTAGAGGCAGTTATAATATTGTCGTATTCATCTTAAGACTAGTAGTAAACTACAAAACGTTTGCATACCAAAAGTACACATCAAAGAGGCTTACAAATTAGTTTTATTAATGATTCCTAAGGGATTTTCACATACTTGTCCCTCTGATTGAAGTAGCTAACAGTACCCTCGTCTGTGTTAAGTGTCTGTGTCGGCATTTTATGTAGACTTAGATATGAGGACGATATCTCTGTACCATCGAATTGTCTTAGATGTATCTGTAAAATGAAGTATTGAAAATTATTTATTATTCACACGTTAATGCAAATGTTGGCACTATATAAATTAAAAATCGATTATAAATTCACGACACCACACAAAGTCAGCACGGAACGCTGTGGATGCCGGTTTAAGTCAGGACTGTAAACCGCGTCGTAATTTTTTTCAATATAAACCGATTTCAAATTTAAATAAAGTATTATTATTATAAAAACAGCTATTATTAGCAGTAAAATGTTTCGCTTCACGAATTACGTTGTAGTGTGGAGTTTGTAAAAAAATAAGAAAATTTGGATAAAACACTTTAACCGTGGTCACAAGGAGACCTCTCTGTGGGAGTCTCCCCGTGACCACGGCTGCTGCAAAGCATTCGAAACGTCAGGCCGAAGTTAAAAATAATCTTCAAATAATTAACTAATAAATATCGCGGTTTAAACCGTTAAAGTGTTATTTATATGTGTTACTCGCTTAAACTACTAAGACAGTTTTTAAGGAGAAAATTGCTAGCCTAGCATTTATTAGAAAGTAAAAAAGTAACGAAGTTTAAATCAAAATGAGTAAGTTTAACTTTAAACGAGAGTACTTAAATAAGAAAATACTTAAGACTATTATTACTACTCATTAAATACTGTATATAGTTTACGCGAGTAGTACACATTTAAATAAAACACTTACGGTTTAAAACGCGATATATTAGTTACACTTATTCGAAAATGATTAAGAGAGTTAAAAATCTTTTTCAAATGAGTTTAACTATGATATCGCGTTTTAAACCGTTAAAGTGTTCTAGTTAAAGCAGATTAGTGTTTTTATTTTCTACTTAATTTTCCATAAACACATTAAGAATATAAATAATTCATTTTGCAATTTGCATGTAGCACTTTTGAGACTAGTTTTCAAATAATTATAAGATAATACTCAAATCTTACGAGCATTTACATAGACTTATATATTTTTAAACGAACATATGTTTAATTTAATGAATTTTGAAAACAATGGTGACTAAAGGCGTCCGTTGGGTTGTTTGTCGTAGTTCAAATACAGAAATATAGTTTGCGTTTCAACTCGTTAAAAGTCGTTTTATTGAGCAAGTCAATACACTATGTGATTACTATTTTTTATAAAGTTACATCAGTTAATAGTCTCTATTAAATACAACTCTTTGTTTAAAATGTATGTAACAACTAAACAAATTCTTTATTACCTTGTATGTGTTAATACACAAATTCGCATAAAACATTGTATACACTTAAAAATATTTTCAAAGTCAAATTAGTAAAAACTTAAAATTCACATTTACTTTTAATTAAAAGTTGGTTTGCACCGCTTTGACCGCCTCTGCAGCTAAATGGTTAAACGTGTTGCCTAGCATTGGGTAAAGCGCGAGCGGTCCTGGGTTCGAATCCCGGGGAAACAGTAAATTGTTTCGGTTGGGCATGGCGCAGAAGTCTGATCGAATACTTGCCTGTAAATAAAACCGAGAAACACAGAAAAATCGTTCGCCCTATGCCCCACGAGGGGAAACGGAATTTCACTTTAAAAAACTTTATAAAAATTGGTTTGAGTAAGGGCAAGGAACGAACGAGAAGAACTGGCAAAAAACTCGCCACTACTTTCGCCAAGTGTTACCCTCACTGTTGGTAGTGAAGAACCTACCGGCTACTAGTTATAAATAAATGAATAAAATAAATTTTACCAGTAAATGCAAGTTGACCTCGTCACTTCTGCTCAAGTACGGGAAGTTGCCCCCACTTTTTAAATGCGCTAGTTTAGCTTGTGGGTATGACTTATATAGGTCTTCGCGAACCCTTGAACTCAAAGCGCTGTCGTCCCAAACATCCATTATTGTAATTGGCAAATCATATAATTTCTGAGGTTGAACATAAGATGGTGAACAATTTAGGGTCAGTCTTGAAGCCAGCTCTGATTGTGTAAGAGAATCCAGCTAAAAGTAAAAAAATATTGCTTACAAAACTTTCTTACAAATGTACATCTAATGTTAAATCAGTTTTACTTCAATATAATCACCAAAAATATCAGTTGCCATTAACCGTTTAAGTGCATTTTGTTTAAATCTGTGGACTTACTAATTCGCCGAAATAAATGACAGAGTATCTTTTGACAGTATTGGCTACAGTATTGTAACTTTTAATAAGTCGCTTTAAGTTAAAGTGTTTTATTTAAATGGAATACTCGCGTAAACCAGTGAACCTTCTCTGTCTTCCAAAGAATATATATTTCATAAAAAAAATCTTACCACAAAACCAATTTTAGTATAACATCAATAACTAGTTTCTCTAATTGATAAATAAACATTCTCTAAGTGACAACTAATGCAAAAAAAAAACAGTAGTTATATTATTTTTAACAAGGTCCTTTTGTGTTGTCTCGTTAATAAATTTTTATATCATAGTTATTTGTTAACAAAGTAACATTTAAAATAATGTAATTTGTCTAAAACCAGTCTTAATTAATTAATGAAACATGAATACACTGACCTTAAATAAAGAGCAAAAAGAAATGTTGGTGAGCTAAGAACCAAGCAAGAAAAGAAGAAACTCTTATACCTTTTCAACCATAAAATCAATAGAGTCAGCTATCCTCTTGTCAACTTTTTCTGCAGCAAAATTGCCCATGAGCATTCTCTTCAACACAAGCGAAGGAAGAAGCCAGAACAAAGCCGCAGAATCATTATACTCAAATACAGATGTATCTGTGAATGTGTTACACAGCACAAGTGATACAACGCGGGGACAGTTGTGTGTATACTCTGTGAACTTCTGTGCTATGAAACCACCTGTAGAATTACACATAATAAGTACAAATATCAAGATAGTATAAAAAAGGAGGATTTATTAAAAATAACATTCATAATTTAAAAAAAAGGTAAGATCAAATAAAAGTACACTTGTTCAGTGCAGTAGTTTTGATTATGTATGTGTTGGGAATCATTGTACAAAATAGAAGCTTTTTTGAAGGCACTAACAAACCATTACGTTCCTTTACTGACCTAAAGATGTGCCAAATATATGAATTTTGTCTAGTTCAAGATAGTCAATAAGCTTCTTAAATCCATCACACCATTCCTTAATATTCCAATAGGGTGGTGGTTCTGCGGCAATAACACGAACACCACGAGATGCCAGGCCCATTACTTGCTTATAAAATATATCAGCAGTTCCCGAAACCGGTGGCAAACATATCAAGGGGCAAGTCACTGATTTAGGACCGCTGTCGAATATTTTCCAGGCCTAGATAAAGAAAGAACAAATATTTGTATCACAATTATATGTAGGTCATTGACACGCTCGTTACTGAGTTAATCGAATAGAAATTGTTTACCTTCACTCCATCTGAGTCAACAACAACTTTCCTTAGAGGGATACTGCTTCTGAAGCTCAAATATTCACTAGATTGAGACAAATCACAAGTGAAACTCATATTAAATTAGATACGAAATGGTATTTATTCCACAAATCTTCAACGCCGTTGAAACAGTCACGCAGCTGTGTAAATGTAAATACGCTTGCGCGCATATAGTACCGTCTAATTACTAGTTTTGTTTAAGGAGAGTGTGTTTTCTCGTTGGATACCAACAATATTTACATTATAAGTGTCCAAGTTTTTGACACTGACGTTGACGGTTGACATAACAGCTATGGTTGACACTTGACGGTCTAATGGAATCGTTACTATAGTCTGTTTATTCGATTGTGAATAATTATTCTACTCGATTGTATTGTACTACTTGTTAAAAAAAATATATAGCATAAATTAAATATTGCTATACGGTATTTAACTGCAAAAAAGTGTAAACCTTAAATTAAGTAACAAGTACCTTTTAAAGTATTTTAGATATGATCAAAATCCTATGTCATTGTAGGGATCACAGGAAAGAAAGAACGTAAGAAAGGGTGAAGGATTGGATAATGTTATTTTATGTTGATTATGTGCTATTTCGTAATATGAAACATTTAAAAAGACCAAACTTTTTGGCAAAATAAGCCTTTTTGCGGCTTTTTTAAATATAATAGTATTATTGTGATTAAAAAAAACATCTGAATAAATTTGTAAAATCTATAAGACTTTGAGTGAGGCACCACAAGAAATACTGTAAATATTATCTGCACAGATAATAGATATGTAGAATAATGAGTTAGAAATAAAAATATATTTCTTCAAACCACATGTTTTTTATTATTGAATATAACTAAGTTGACACATCCATAGTGAACTTCTACTGTAATAATTCAAACCTGCCTATACGTAATATCTAAATAAACTTTTACTTGGACAATAATTTTTATACAGTAAGAAGAAATAAGTACTGATTACATCATATTTTAATATTACTTTTTTAAAGTTAAATTTTATACAGTTATTACAAACATAAGAACAAGTATCCAGTAGCATTGAAACAATATCGGTATTATATTAAGCATAGTTATGGACTAAGAACGATTGTTTAGTTATATGAGAAATAAGTATATTCAGGATTAATTTTTACAGGGATTTAAGGGCATCTATGCTGTCTGCAAAAAAGGTATTTAAAAAAATAAATATTCTATAATTCCTTTAAATCGACGATGATCAAACTGTACAAAATTAAAATTAGTTATCACATCTCGTATCATAAGTCTGTTTTAAAATGTCAAAATATTGCTCCTATCTTAAAATTTCCAAATTGTACTTTCAAAAAGGATTTGAATGTTGTTTTTATTCAAACTATCAATAAATCATTTATAATAGGCTTAAATCAATGACATGACATATAGACATTCTCTTAGTGCGAACTAATTATTAAATATACTTAGATAATTTCGTTTTTACGTATCACTAGGAATATAATTATTATTAATTACATGCAAGTACTTCTCGATTTTGAGCATGTTACTCTGAATAATCAAATATTTACAAGGTAGATACTATATGTAATGGTTTCTCTTGGCTAAGATATATTTACTAGGTATGAGAAAAAATAAGACCTCGTTCCTACGGTTCAATGAATACAAAGCGAGGTTCGAGTCCAGACAGAACAATAGATTTCGGCAGAGCACAGCAGTCTGATCGACTATTAACTTGTAAAAAGAACCTAACTGAGTAACCGGACACCACTCGCCATGAGAAGAGGCGGGTAATAATTTATGAAGCTAAAATTATAAGCTAAACAATATGTCAGGAATAAAAAAAATTAAATTAATTAAAAAATTGTCTAAGTAGTACAGTTCTAGTTCTGTGAGATTACTAGTCACATTTAGTGTCTATATAGTACAAGCAAACGGTACGGACTTATGTTTAATTCGATTGTTGACTTTTTTTGGCAAATGTTTAACTATTGGCAAGCAAGTAAACAGCTAATTCGAAATCATTACTTTGGTTGTTCAGTATTTTTGACAACAACAGCGTTAGTATCAAACAGGTACGAAGGTTTTTGATTCCGTAAAATACAATAATACAGAAATGTTTTTAATATGCACTATGTATAAACTTAAACAAGTATTACGTGAAACACAATTGACTCATGTAATAAACGGATGATATAATTTAATTTACTTAGCATGTTTAAAATTATTGTTTATTTAATTTTAGGACAGTATGCACAAACAAAATAACGATTTACCATTAAAGATCAATCAAAACACAATCGATTATGAATTAAGTGATGAACGGAATATGCTGTTTATGAAATACGCCCGTCCGTACACGTCGCTGGAGATCGCTTTCGTTGTGACGCGAGCGTAACGCGGACAGCTGTGACTATGACATTGACAATTGACTTCAATTGTGTCAAATCCCTCGTTCAGACATCACGCAAACGCTTCGAGAATGGAGTGGGTTCAATGAAACGGTTGGATCTACACAAGGCCGTCCGCGTTTTTGCATGACCGGGGACGCACCCTCACGACTCCCCGTTGCCGCTGTCATCACCGTCCCCCTCCCCGCCTTCGATTTCGTCCTCCGAGTCTGTGTCGAGGTCATAATCGTCATCGTAGAAGTCTGTCATGTCCAGCTGTAAAAATTCATATTGATCGTATTATATCATTTGGTTAGTTAAAATCCAACGAAAACAAAGCTTATAGAATAATAAGGATTTTTTTATATAAATAGCTTAGTTTTAATGCCGAGAAAAGAGCTGCTTTTCAAACAAAGCCAGTGCTAAATAAACTCCAACTTCCGGTATCGGTTAAGGCGTTCTTTTTTTAAATAATTGGCATTGCGTAAAGGTTGACACGTATTAGGAAGCACGGCACCATACCTGCGGTTCTTGCGTCGTTGCCTTGACTTGAGTTTTAATGCAATAATCTTCTAACGTAAGTGGCACTACTATTCCTTCCTTTTCCGCTTCCATGCGCGCGACTTGTGCTTGTTTTCTGTAACGTAAATAAAATTGGAGAGGATCGAGAGAATAAAACATGGATTTAGTTAGAGGATTACTTTTCCATTAGAACTTTGACGCTACCAATAAGATAGGAAACATTTTTGTCACATGTAATTATTGTCTTCTTTCGTATTGTTTAATATTTATTGAAGACTTTATTTTGTCAATTTTTATTGAATGCTTGGTGGTTACGAATAATTATTGTTTAATATAAACTGAGTTACTAAAAAAAGTTATTATTTATTGATAGAAAAGCTAAAAGAGTAAAAATAAAGAAAAGTACAATTTTAACTCCATTGGCAAAATCCTATATTAAAAAAAACATAATATGAGGTGTCCTATTAAAAAAGTCTTATTCATAATTTCATTAGTAATCAATGGAAAATGTTTAGTCATTTACACCATCCCGAGCTAAGCCATTGAACGCAAATACTTCAAGGTGGTTCCTCATTTCAGGATATGACATTGTATAACCTTTCTAAGAATTGTGTAGCGTACAATGTCTTTATCTCTCATTTAGTACGAAATAATTGCAGTTAGATTAACGCATCTTGAAATAGTTTAGATTTATAATGATCATAACTTCTCATCTTTAAAAAATTATACCCACGACGTCGGCCGCGTCCTGTCGTTCTTGCAAATTAATATTAAAATATACATATATATTAACGGGCACGCAACGGAAACTCCTTAAGATGAATTATTTTCCGCGTTGCTTCCACATTTCCCACGATATCTTCTGACCACGACAAAAAGGAATTTTTCAATTCGAACCTGTAGTTCTTGTGATAAGCGCGTTCAAAGAAACAAACAAACAAACTCTTCAGCTTTATATATTAGTATTGATAGATAATCTACCACTATATATATTTATACTACTACTACTTTAAATATTTATCTTGCATATGTGCCAAATAAAACTCATAAATAGGTAAATATTAACACACGTAGCACTGGGATGGGAATAAGCAAACCGAAATGAAACTTTGCTTTGTTGGTAAAAATCTACACTAAATTCATTTGTAAACTAGAAGACGTCAAAGTATTTTCCTTAGTTACAGGCAGAAAAAATAACTAACTTCAAACAAGTGATCGACTGGTCGAATTGTAGTTAGAAAATTATTAATTAATATAGTCATTAAGTTTTTTTATTTGATGCGTACTACTACATAACAATAAACAACAAATACACGCAACAACAAATACATCTTGAAACAAAATAACCTAGATACTAATAGAAACTAACGCCATTCATTATAATTCGTTTTGGGTTTAAATCCTTTTTTTATAATTGAGGAGGACAAACAAGCATAAGGTTCTCTAGAGGTGACGTACCCTATACCGTATATAACATCGAAACAAGATGTGCTGACCTACTTTGGCTTAGGATATTCGTAAATCCAGACTTAAAACGAAACGCGATTAAACTTCACGGCATTCGTCTGATTTCTACCACAAATTAATATCCAGATGTCTAGACGATGTCCAACAACTTTCAGAAAAAGGATAAATTGATTAGAACCACCTTGGGACTCGATGGGGATCGTACCCAAACCCGGTGGTAAGCCATATACCATATGTACCATAGCTACCATGACACCAACGAGCTCGTCGAAATAACTTTACCTAATGATGTTCTCGTACTCCTTGTCCTTTCCTTTCGAATCGCGCCAGCGGCGGTACATGACGCTCGCGTCAACATTAGCTGGACTGAACGTGTTCGGCTCGTTCAGAAGAGAGATCACAGATAGAAGAACGGTGCGGACGGACTGCGTCGGGTTCCAGCGCTCGCACGGGAGTTCCCCCGATTGGGGATCGTCGACTGGCGGATGAAGGATCGATATGCAGAGGTCGCCGTTCTGAAAATAACAATCGGTATAGATTTAGAACAGCAGAAAACAGCTTTTGATAATTTATTTAGATAGTCAAATTTTTACACGCAAGTTAAGGTCGAAATTAGATTGCGCGACGTACATGTATATTTATCAATAGGTTACGAAGACGTGGACGTGGTGGTAGAGAAACAGGGGCGAGCAACAGTACGGTACCCTGTGGACGTGGTGGTAGAGCAACAGTACGGTACCCTGTGGATGATGGTTCAAGTCCAGCTCGTGTCATAAATTTTTTTTTTTAAAGTTATTTTCTACACGAAACCCATAACGTACAAACTAATAGGATATTAATATCCGACCGAAGATTCGTTCTTACTAGACAGCAATGAGCAAACTGAAGTCAAAGATTTCTGGAGGCAGAGTAACTAATAAAAAGTGAGAAATAGTTCAGCTACATTCGATCTAGTTTTAAGTTAATATGCTTAAAAGGTCAATGGACGAGATTAAGACGGCTGGTGAATGGGCTGCAGCACCATCTCTTAACATATACAAACATTGCCTTTAAGACACGTTTCAAAAAACATAAGAATTTGTAGTAAGAATTGAACTTACTTTTTGCTTAAGCCAAAAAAACAACACTCAGTCGGACAATAATGATTGATCTGACATGAATCCAACGTACACAAATGGAATTAGGAAATAGGAAGTAGTTTATACTCCACCGGTTTTAACACAAGCGCTTGCTGTATATTTGTTTTAAATAGAAAGAACTGATACAATCGCTATAATAACGATAAAATAAATGTTAGTTTCTATTGTCGTAAAAGTATTACATTTCACACGAAATGTTTTCTTTTCTAGATTTTTGAAACAATGGTTAAAACAAGGTCTAGATTTATTTAAAACTGTATAAATGCGATAGCGACAGACAAATGTTTTCTTCCATTAATAGATAAACACCATCTAAAGCCATCTTAAATTTCCGAATACCTAAGCAAAATAATATGGGCAAGCACTAAGGTACATTTTTCATAAGCCTTATTTAACAAGAAAATATGAGTAATCTTTATTTGTATGTAGGGTAAATCAATAAAATCGTAGCATAGTAACAACATTGAAAGTGATTCGGATCTAAAGTGACATGAAGTAGCAGAATTATATCGACCAATGTCAATGCGCCATATAAAACCTTGGCACGACCCAACGGATAATGAATCTGTAGTAAGCATCGAGTTTTGTACAGTCTGTGATAACGAATTATTATTTTTTTGTTACCAGCCAATTTTAACTTGGTATTTTTACATCGATTAAAAAAAAAGAACTTTGAATTTATTATTGAATATTACCACGGATTACATAAATATTTAGAACCCTTCGCATATTTTTAGAAATCACTGCACGTAAAAGGATAACCAACAATTAGTGACGTGTATAGTAATTATGCGCATGATAAATAATAATTTAATTATGATGCTATCGATTACATAATCGAAATGAATTAAAACAGTCTGAAATCGACAGATGTTATGTTTCGATCATTTGCAGTTGACAATAATATCTACCTACATATTTAGTCTTTCTAGACTGTAATACAAGCAGGGTCATATTATTTACACAAATCGAATCTAGGAATTTAGATATGTTTTTCGTTTCTGAATATATTTTTAAAAACGTAGAAAATTTTCCGTGTAAGTATAATTTTAAATTCGATTTTCTCTTCTACTGAGCTGTAACTTGAAGTGAGTAGAAACTTCTAGTAAATTATAAGTTTCCAAAAGATTTCCACGCAATTCAATGTTTTTGGTTTATACATAATTCTCAATATTTCATTGGATTCTTGGATCCTATGCGACTTGCTTCGAGTGTGTGTTGTATAAATATGAAAATCACTTGGTGATAAACAAACTCAGATGCAAAATATGTTTTGCCAGACGTCATTTACGTGTACAGACAATTTTTATTATATTGTTGCTACAACCAATACAATTTCAATAGTACAGATTTGGAAAAAATAGTACATAATTGTAAATTTAGGATAGTTACATTTTTTTACGTTGAGGAAAATCTTCCGTATTGAATTAAGAGTGAACACTACTCTCCGTTGTTTAAAATATAGTAATAAAATCTTACAATAGAAGAAGTAACAAGAGAATTTTCTCTTATTGAAGGAAAAATGTAATTAGTTTTTCCAATGAATGCACGTTCTCATTATCATTATACATAGGGAAAAATACAAGTGACTGATTCTAAAAAAATCACCAACTTTTTTAAATACCCGATTATGAGGCTGCTAGAGGCACAGTGGCCTAATAACGAAACATAAAAATGCGCAATTAACTTACGCGAAAATGAATTTGTACTATTATTTGTGTAAGAATTATCGGTCACTGTTCTCTTATAGATTGATATTTTTAGACTATGAAAATATGAGTAACTCAAGTCATAAAACTGCAGTTAGGCTACTCTGCCTCATATGTAGACTCTACTTACAATTTCGTTTTGTATTTATTAATAGAATGAGACTCGTGTAGTTACTTCACCTTACCAGCTATCAAAATACGTCGAACAACCCATTTGTAACAAAAAGATCAATGAAAGTGTGTCGAAGGTTAAGAACCATTTGTATTCGTAACAATACAGATAAAAACAAAATATTCAAAGCTAAAATAGGTCGACATTGCGTCTTATCAAGATGTTTTATGGCTATGGCATTTCACCTTCCATCAAGTGAAATCTACTTATATTTGTTTGTTCTTCTCTAAGAATCATAAAAAAAAATCACACAAATTACTTGGATTTAGCTACATACGTTCATTTGTATAATCTGTGGCTTCGTTAAGAGGAGGGGGGAGGGGGTGCCAATGTTTATCCAATTAAACAAATAAATTACGTTTCAAAAGTTATGTTATTGAATACTGTCTATCGGGGACACCCTTGGCAGGACGGGTGATCAGCCAGTTGTACGCGAGATAGTACACATTTCATAATAAAACACTTTAACGGTTTTTAACCAACTGGCGATATATCAGCCTCGGATGCGTGCGTGACCAAGGACTGGGGGCTGCAAAGCATCCGAAACCCGTCGGGCCAAATTGAAGTTAAAAATGTTGCGTTTTCAAATAATGTTTAACTAATATATCGCGTTTTAAACCGTTAAAGGCTTTTAGGTTTAAATTCGATGTTCTTGAACTTAAATACGCATTTCATTAAATACCCGGGCTGAACGTTGGGGGTTCTTTGCGGCGGCCGCGGTCACGGGGTGGACTACAGTTAGGTACTAATGTTTATCAAAGCTATAGCGAAATAACTTTAAACTGTTATAAATGTTAAGTATTAACAATTGTTTACGTAAGTAGTACACATTTAAATAAAACAACTTTAACGGGTTAAAACGCGAAATGTATTATAGATTTTTTATACTAGAATCCGAAGCTTCGGATACATTAAAAGTACCATATCAAATTTGTGAAGTCCGCGTTTTAAAACATGTTTTTTTAGTTGTAACATTTGTTCCATACACAAATTAATGCGATAGCCTGTCTATACGCAGACATTTCACGTAACATTCTCCGCTCTTGAATGTTCCTAAGCCCATTATGGGTAATTAGCCCCTTCTGGGGCAATCACAGCACTTGGTTTTTATTGTGATGACGTTTTAATTGTCAATAGTCGTTTTCTGTAGGTTAGCTCTGGTACGCATTAAATGAAGCATTTTACAGGTTAAAAATGCGAAATATTCTTGTTCTCTTTAGGATTTCCAAATTCAAAAAAGAAACCTAAAATTATCGTTTGATTTTTGGTAACAACCTGTGTCTACTTTAGGAAAATAATCCGTTTATTGATTTAATTGACAATACTTACTCATTTCAATAAAACACTTACTTAACGGTTTAAAAAGCGAAGTATATTAGTTAAATATTTTAATGTAAATTAACTAAATTACACGGCCCAACGAGACCGCCGGTCACAACATAAAAATAAGTTAAGTAATATATTTCTCGTTTAAAACCGTTAAAAGTGTTTTAATTAAATGTGTACTACTCGCGTACATCTAATACTTAACACTTGCTATAAGATAATGTTATGTTTAAAAATCAAAACTCAACTCAATCAATAATCACTGCGCCTCGGTGGTGGATGTCAACTTCTAAGAATGTTATAAACAATTTTTCGTGGCTATAGAGCCAAGTGGCATGGCTAATCATCAAGTACGATGCCCCCCGGTCGGCTAAAATTATCCCGTGTATTATTCGATTTACCGTTTTCCCACAATACGAGTCAAATTTGTATCGCTTTAAATTCAAAATGTGCATATCTATACTAATACATATTATAAAGCTGAAGAGTTTGTTTGTTTGAACGCGCAAATCGCAGGAAGCACTGGTTCGAATTGAACAATTTTTCTGTTGGTTAGAGCATCTATCGTGTAAGGCTTTACACTATAAAGCATCAGGCTGCGAGCAATAGGAACGAAGAGACAGTGGGACATAATATTGTGTAACAAACGGGGATAATTAGGGCTAGCGCGCACTGGTGACTTTTGTCACGGTGACCTTAAAGTTTTTGTCATTGTCACGTCACGTTTCCAAAGTGGAGTGCGCGCACGAGTAGCGACAGTGACAAAACATTTTCGGAATCGGTAGTGTCATTTGCCACTATGGACTTCGAAGAGACGGTCGTTCTCTGTGAACTCTTGAGACTCTGGAGAAAAAGAAAACGAAGAGAATACTGGGTACACCCACTTTGGACTGGCAGGCTTCTACACTATGTATTATAAACTTCGAGAACATCCTAAGGATTTTTTAGATATTTCCGAATGAGCGCTTTGATGAATTATTACGCACTTTACTAAATATTATCGAACATACAATAAATATTTCTTATTTATAATAATATTTAAACTATTATATTATTATAAATAATAACGATTGTCAATAATTATTATCAATAATAATAATTAAATAAGGATCAGATTATAGTTCTTAAGTTACGAACGGTTTTCGTAGGGAGCGACAAGTTACCCGAAG